GTCAAGACTGGGCCAAGAAATATCTCAAGACTGATTTTTCTAAGGTTTTATGGACTGATGAAATGAGAGTGAGTCTTGATGGGCCAGATGGATGGGCCCGTGGCTGGATTGGTAAAGGGCAGAGAGCTCCAGTCCGACTCAGACGCCAGCAAGGTGGAGGTGGAGTACTGGTTTGGGCTGGTATCATCAAAGATGAGCTTGTGGGGCCTTTTCGGGTTGAGGATGGAGTCAAGCTCAACTCCCAGTCCTACTGCCAGTTCCTGGAAGACACCTTCTTCAAGCAGTGGTACAGGAAGAAGTCTGCATCCTTCAAGAAAAACATGATTTTCATGCAGGACAATGCTCCATCACACGCGTCCAAGTACTCCACAGCGTGGCTGGCAAGAAAGGGTATAAAAGAAGAAAATCTAATGACATGGCCTCCTTGTTCACCTGATCTGAACCCCATTGAGAATCTGTGGTCCATCATCAAATGTGAGATTTACAAGGAGGGAAAACAGTACACCTCTCTGAACAGTGTCTGGGAGACTGTGGTTGCTGCTGCACGCAATGTTGATGGTGAACAGATCAAAACACTGACAGAATCCATGGATGGCAGGCTTTTGAGTGTCCTTGCAAAGAAAGGTGGCTATATTGGTCACTGATTTGTTTTTGTTTTGTTTTTGAATGTCAGAAATGTATATTTGTGAATGTTGAGATGTTATATTGGTTTCACTGGTAATAATAAATAATTGAAATGGGTATATATTTGTTTTTTGTTAAGTTGCCTAATAATTATGCACAGTAATAGTCACCTGCACACACAGATATCCCCCTAACATAGCTATAACTAAAAACAAACTAAAAACTACTTCCAAAAATATTCAGCTTTGATATTAATGAGTTTTTTGGGTTCATTGAGAACATGGTTGTTGTTCAATAATAAAATTAATCCTCAAAAATACAACTTGCCTAATAATTCTGCACTCCCTGTAGTCTCTAGGCATGTGCATGGGGAAAAATTTCGGTTCGGTTCGGCATTCCAAAATTCTGGACTTAGTATTAGTAAATTTTGCCCCTACTCGCTATACCGCGAGTATGGGGCATGTCTATTAAACAGTGAGCAGCCTGTGGCTGCTCACTGTTAAAAAAAAAAAATAGGGTCCCCCCTCCCGAGCTCCCACCCGCGACGCGCGAGTGGGGGCTTTTAAACTAAAGGGACCTATTGCCCCCACACCCAGCCGACACCCCTGAGCAGCGGATGGGGGCCCCAAATACTAATAAGGGGGGGACCTAATGTCCTCTCCCCTGGCCCCCACCCCTGAGTAGTGGGTGGGGGCCCTAAATACTTATAAGGGGGGGGATGTAATGTCCTCCCTCCTGGCCCCCACCCCTGATTGGTGGGTGGGGGCCCTAAATTGGAATAAGGGGGGGGGACCTAATGTCCTCCCCTCTGCCCCCCAAGCATGAGGGGCGGGTGGGGGTCTTAAATTGGAATAAGGGGGGGACCTAATGTCCTCCTCCCTGGCCCCCACCCCTGAGCGGCGGGTGGGGGCCCACCCCCAGGTGACTAGGGCTCCCCAAACCCCTAGTCACCCCCCCAAAAAAACCTTCCTACCCCCCTCACCCTAAAAATAATGAGGGGGGGACCTTTAACTAAGTACCTGTAAAAAAAATAAAACTTACCATTCGATGTTTTCTTTCTTCTAAATTCTTCTTTTTTTAGCCCCAAAAAAGGCCAAATAAAAAATCCATAATAACCGGCAGACAATGTAATAGAGCAGCAGGAAATGCTAGCAGAATGCTTGGTTGTATAGGGAGAGGTATTAGCAGTAGAAAGAGGGAAGTGCTCATGCCATTGTACAGAACTCTGGTGAGACCTCACTTGGAGTATTGTACGCAGTACTGGAGACCGTATCTTCAGAAGGATATTGATACTTTAGAGAGGGTTCAGAGAAGGGCTACTAAACTGGTTCATGGATTGTGGGATAAAACTTACCAGGAAAGGTTAAAGGATCTTAACATGTATAGCTTGGAGGAAAGACGAGACAGCCCCCCCCTTATTCCAATTTAGGGCCCCCACCCGCCGCTCAGGGGTGGGGCCAGGGGGGAGGACATTAGGTCCCCCCCTTATTAGTATTTAGGGCCCCCACCCATCGCTCAGGGGTGGGGGCCAGGGGGGAGGACATTAGGTCTTCCCCCCTTATTCCAATTTAGGGCCCCGACCCGCCGCTCAGGGGTGGGGGCCATGGGGGAGTACATTAGTTCCCCTCCTCATTAGTATTTAGGGCCCCCACACACCGCTCAGGGGTTGGGGCCAGGGGGGAGGACATTAAGTCCTGCCCCCCTTATTTTACTGTAGGGCCCCCACCCACTGCTCAGGGGTGGGGGCCAGGGGGGAGGACATTAGGTCCCCCCTCTTATTTTACTGTATGGCCCCCACCCGCCGTACAGGGGTGGGGTCTGGGGGGGCAATAAGTCCCCCCTTCAGGTTAGAAGTCCCCATGGGTGGGGGCTCGGGAAGGGGGGCATAGGCTGCTCACTGTTTAATAGACATGCCCCTACTTGCGGTATAGAGAGTAGGGGCATAATTTACTAATACTAAGTAATCTTTACTTAGTATTAGTAAATTTGGCTGAAAGACCAATTTAGGTCTTTCAGCCTTTTAGTAGATAACTCCCTAATTCCCACAGTATTAGGAAGCTATCTACTTATTCATTCCTGTCATTACACTGACTGGCTAAGTAACTTGCATTTTATATGAATGTATGTTACTTGATTGTTGTAAGTGTTGCAAATGCTTACAGATGGATTCTGGCTATGTTTGTATATTTTTTATTTAAAATTGTATACAGTGTAACATTCTTCATTCTTACACTGGGTAAGTATATTAGTTCTTAGGCAATACCGTGTTCAGCACTTCGGCACTTCGACACTTCAGAACTTCAGCAACTTCGGAACTTCGGCTCTTCGGCTCTTCAGCACTTCGGAACTTCGGCACTTCAGCACTTCAGCACTTCGGAACTTCGGCAATTCGACACTTCGGAAATTCGGTAATTTCGTGACTTCAACCATTCGGCAGTTCAGCAATTCGGCAAATCATCTATTCGGACATTCGGAAGTACCCGAAATTCGTCCGAATTCACATTCAGACCGAAACAAATTGCACATGTCTAATAGTCTCCCCTTTCCTCCTAAAGCTGCCAGGATATATCAGATTCCACAATAGTACTAAAGGCTGGATTAACATAGGGGCAGGCAGAGTTCCAGCTCCAGGCCCATCCTGCTGTGATAGGCTCACACTACATGATGATCTGTCAGTCTTCCCCTAAATATGCCAATATCATTTTACTTCATGGGATTTTTTAAGGGATTTTTTAAGGGATAAGCCAAACATTATTATTATTATTATTGGCATTTATATAGTGCCAACTTATTTTGCAGCACTTTACAATATTAGATTCTTTCTGTAGCAGAGACCAAAGGGTGGAGCAGTGGTGGCACTGGGTACCGGAGACTGCAAACATGGTGGCACAGGACTGGAGGGGAGTTAATAATTTAACATTTTAATTTGTTTTGAATATTTTTATTTTAAGCACAATAAGAATTTATGCATCGAACTGATTTATAATAAAGCAAATGATTGCCCACGCAGGGGCTGAAACTTTGGTCTAACACAGTATTCCTTTGGTTGCCTGCGCAGAGGCGGATTTGTTTTAAATGTTTCATTAGTATTTGGCGTTGCAAGTACAAGCAGGTAGTCATTCTTGTTTCATGGAAAGCTTATGGTTGCCTGCGCAGAGGCGTTTCAGATAAAACGTGCAGATACATTAGGAACTAGGATTTGTAACAGATACATGCTCTACTAATCCATATGACTTCATTCAAGTTGTGGTTTTAGACTACAAGAGGCATGGTGGTGACGGCGTGAAGGCCTAAGGCTAGTCTTGGGGCGTGGTTTCCCATTTCACATGGGAGTTTTGGTGGGTATTCAGCTCGTGTGTCTGTGGATGGTGCGTTGTTTGTGTTTTGTCTCTGTGTGTGGGCGTGGGGCGAGAACTGTGCGTTTAGGTGGTGATTGCCGTCATTGTTTTAGGTTGCCCGGGCGGTCGTTATGATGCCCGAGGCCTTTTGTGGCTGCGTTGATTATGTTCTGTGTTGGTGGTCTAGGGAGGCAGTTGTTGTCTAACCTATGTCTCTGATGGCTGCGAGACTCGTGTATGTATGTGTATGTGTGGCTATGCTCCTTGTGGGGCGTGCCTCTTGTATTGCTGCCCTCTGGTGCTTGGTATCGCCTGCGGTTGCGTTTGGGTTGCGTGTGGGGGTATGTGGCTTGAGTGGGCTGGTCGTAGAGTGCAGTGTTGCCCCCTTCTCTGTGGTAGTGTGTGGTCGTGGGGTCACGTCATCATGCGGCGGTGGAGCGTGGGTCTGAGTCTCGGATTAGGTAGGTCCGTGGGGATCTGCCTTCTGCATTGGGAACTGTGGCCCTACGGGGTCCAGTCCTCAGTGTGGTTATAGTTGCCTCCCGTCAGTGAGTGAGTGGTGTGAGGTCGGCACCCGCTAGAACATTTTAATTTGAACATTTTAAAATTTTATACATATGCATATACACTGATCAGCCACAACATTAAAACCACTAACAGGTGAAGTAAATAACATTGGTTATATTGTTACAATGGTACCTGTCAAGGGGTGGGATCTATTAGGCAGCAAGTGAACAGTCAGTTCTTGAATTTCATGTGTTGGAGGCAGGTTTTGCGGGGGGTGTTTCTGATACGCTGTGGATACTAACTGCAAAAGGTGGTGCAAGGAAGGACAACCAGAGAACCGACATCAGAGTCATGGGCAGCCAAAGTTGATTGATGCACGTGGGGAGCGAAGGCTAGCCTCAAAAACCCAATACAGGCCATGATAGAGTTGTCAGAACACATAGTGCATTGCAGTTTGCGTGTACAAGGCTGCATAGCAACAGACCGGTCAGAGTGCCCATGATGACCCATGTTCACCAGATCCCAAAGTACATGCTCAGAGGCAGCAGCGTATCTACTACTGCAACCCCTGCGACCGGGCCCGTCACTCCAGTGACCATGGGTCACCAGACCAGGGCATCCATCGAGGGGACAACAACCCTTTTACTTGTAATGTACCTAAGGGCCCTGCGAGCCCGGACCCCTTACATTAACACAGAACCGGTCAGGGAGATGTGGTAGGATACAGGGTGAGGGAATGTAAACTAAATAAACATTTCTTTTTAAAATTACATTAACAAAATAAATATATAGAGAAAAAGATGCTCGCTTCTCAGCCCACACAAACCTCTATCCTACCTAGCAAACACTCTCTCACACATACAATACATCCCTACTTACACATACACACACTGCATCCCTAAAAAGCCACACACACTGCATCCCTACACAAAAACACACAATGCATCCGTACACACACACAAACTGCATCTCTACTTACAATGCATCCCCAACACACACACGCTGCATCCCTACACACATACCCGTGCACACACACAGACACAGACATTACTTACTTTACAGGGGAGAGAATGACACACATGGACAGGTTGGGATGGAGAAAATGACACACATGAAGGGGCTGGGATGGAGGGAATGACACACATGGGGAGGGATGCGACAGAGGCAATGATACACATGGAGTGGCTGGCGGTATGAGACACATGGAGGGGCTGGGGGGAGTATGAGACGCATGCAGGGGCTTGGGGATGAGTTGCATTGAGGGGTTGGGGGTTGGGGGAAGTATTAGACGCATGGAGGGGCTGATGGGGTATGAGATGCATGGAGGGGCTGGGAGGAGTATGAGACGCATGGAGGGGCTGAGGGGGTATGAGTTGCATGGAGGGGTTGGGGGGGTAAGAGACACATGGGGGAGGGACAGGGACATTTTCGCACCGGGGCACAGTGATTTCTAGTTACACCTCTGCTCAGAGCTGTTATGGCACCACTAGTGGAACCTACACGATATTATGCAGGGGGTTTTAATGATATGGATGATGTGTGTGTGCGCGCGCGTTAGACCTCCCCATAGGAAAGCATTATTCAATGCTTTCCTATGGGGATTTCGGCGACGCTGGAGGTCCTCATGCATAGAGTGAGGACGTCCAGCGTCGTTTAAAACACTTTTCGTGTTCTAAGAACACGGAAGTGCCTCTAGTGACTGTCTGAAGACAGCCACTAGAGGAGGACTTAACCCTGCAAGGTAATTATTGCAGTTTATAAAGACTACAATAATTACACTTGCAGGGCTAAGGGTGGTGGGAGTTGGCACCCAGACCACTCCAATGGGCAGAAGTGGTTTGGGTGCCTGGAGTGTCCCTTTAAGAGGTGAGTGACTAAAGCCTCTTACTAAACAACCCTGAAATAGTGTGTGTTCTTGACAGGCCTTTCATTGTGTTTCGGAGTGGTTTGACATAAATCTTTCTGTCACCCACAAACGACATCCCTCCTCCGCTGCATTGATAAAACGGAATTAAGACTTTTACATTTTCTGCCTGCTCCAGCTCTCTCAGCCAATCAGCGCTGTCCTGTATGGCGCAAAACACCTTAGACAATACAAACACTACAGAGAAGTATAGTGTTGCTAATTGTGTCCTTTTCATATGCTCTGTGCAAATCACATTGTCTAAACTGCTCGTCTCTCATGTTCATGCACGATACACGCCTTTTATAGTATTTTTTTGTGTTTTAATAAAAATATTAACATTTTATCTGTCACTGGTATCTGTAACAGACTTTGCTTTTTTGCATTGTTTGTTATGTTGTATCTACAATCCTTCCTAAAAAGTTATTCAGTGAGTGATTCCATCAGCGTGAATATGGATTTTCTCTCAAATTTTGTAGCTTTTCACAAAATCTCATTTTCTCCAGTTTAGTAGAATACATATTGTACTGTTTTTTTTTATTGTTGTTGGTGTTTTTTTTTTCTGTTGTTATTTGTTTTTTCTTTTTGTTGGTAATTTTCTCTTATGCAAATCTAAAGAACTTTAATTTGTAGATGCAGCACCTTGCTCCTCCCTCTTAGTCTTTGGTAACCCAACACTTTACCCTTCTCCATTCAGAAAAAAAAATGCCACAAAATAATTTGTTTCTTTGTTTTATAAATTTAGAAACAATAATTGAAAGCTGATTCTGCACAGGGCCAGGTGTTTTGTATTGGCAGCTTGCTCCCTAATGACTTAGGCTCTCATTGAGCAGCTGCCTGCCTTGTCCCTTTGTATGAGCCATTGTTAAAGCACACCCCTCCTTCATGCACATGCTGCCTGGGGCAGGCCCTGGGAATCAAATCAACTTGCTTATCTTAGGAGCCTACAAACCTGACAGAGTGGGGAGGCTGCCTTACATCTGCTTGAGCTCAGTAATTGTGAGCCTGCTGCTTTGCCATTGGCTGCCTCTCTGCCCAGTAATAGGTTAAGCAGAGACATTGTAACTCCATCTGTCCAACAATTCATTGTTCTGTGTGTGACTGCTTGCTTGGAAGCCTTGTACCTCAAATTGTATGAAGGACTTGCTGCTAAAACTGCTACTAAAAACCCAATGTCTCTCTGTTCCCCACCAAAAGTAAGTGCACGGATTTTCAATGATGTATTAAAATTGTGATTTTCTTTTTTTAATTGTGTTCGCTTTATTGTTTATATTGTTTATATTTCATTCTTTCTATTTTTTCATATGATAAAATAAAAATAAATGATTGCACAGTATTTGGTTACAAAGGATACATTATTTCCTGGAGACCCTTGTTTGTATGCATTATATTATGTCTGTAGTTCTTGTTTTTCACAAATCATATTCTTGGATGCTGTGTGAAGGCAGGTGCAAGGTGCTTGGTTCTGTTTTGATTTAATCTATTTGGTCCTTTTCTGTTTAGTTGAAATAAAAATGTCTGTACAGAAATTGCCCATCATCCTGGTTTTCAAAGCATTAAAAGGCTGTGGAAAATCTTTGTAGATATGAATCAAAGTTAATTGAACTAGAATGATTGTAGTTGATATTTATTACTCTATGTTATAAATCTGCTTTCTGCCTACCACCAATAATAGTGATTTATAAAAAATAAATGTTTTCATTGGATCTGAAAGGGTTAATGAGCTGAGCTATGTACGGAGTTTTTACATTACCCATGAGTGACAGGTAGTACATTATGTTCTGTGTGCAGATATTGAGATGAATTTTTTTTTTAACTCTCTCCATGTGATTTCACACTGATAGCATAAAAGAAGCTGTGCATTTATGCATTAATGATTATAAGCTCTTTGGGCGAAGAATGAACTTTCCTCACTCTGTATACTGATATATTCTATATTTTTTTACATATAAAGCATTATCCTGTCCTATTTCTGGAGGTTTTTTATATGCATTCCTATTTAATATCATAATTATAATTTTATTAATTTTTTTTGGTGTGGGGCACTTACTGCTTGTCTGAGTGTTTATGTACAGATTATATTAAATAAAATCATTGCTATTTTCAGTTTAAAATGTGTATTTGTATATGTATCTATACATATATATGAGTTTTATATATAAATATGTATGTATATGTTGGTATATATATACATAGTTAGTGTGTGTGTGTGTGTGTCCCTCTATAATCTGTTCTGTGCACACTTCCAATGCACAGCACATGTACATGCCCGTCTCCTTTCTGTGTGTGTATATGCAAATTACTTTGCATTCACAATGCACTCCTTCGATTAAAGCTTCAGATTTGCTTTTAAAAGGCAACCAAAACCTCAAGGGTCTTTTGAGGCCTAACTTAGCAGATGAAGCCGCTGTACAAAGGGTTAAAAGAAAGGCATCACTCGGACCACATGCCCCATTATTTGAACATATGCATTAGTCTATTGAAAGTTTTCTGGAGATGGCCAGGCCACCAGTTGCTGAACTCCTGCAGCTCCAGGAGACATCTGTTGCCCCAGAGTATTAACCAGTACGTTCAATGGGACATCTTTTCTTTGTTGGATGAAGGTTTTGCAGACAACAGCACTCGCTGGAATACAATGGTAATTAAATACACAGAACCAGTGCCAGGGGTATTTATTACATATTCATTATTCTAACCGCATTGTCCTTGAACATTGGATAAATGCATGTACCAAGAAAAGCTGTCATGCTGTAGATCTAAACTGAATTAAGAATCAGGAAAACACGATGATTGTAAAAATGTAAAGGTTTGGGATTTTATATTCCTTTATATTTTTTATACCCCCCCACCCACCACTTATTTATTTTGATGCAATAAACCCTTTTTAAACAGGTGATGGAATAAACCAGGATTAAACATGTACTTTTTATTGTTGAAACTTTGTGCATCAATGTATGGGACATCCCTAGGAGGGACAGTGGGGGAAAGTGACTAAACATCGAAATGTGGGAAATTGAAAATGGAATTGCTAGAATACCTGAAATGGGAAAGAAAAATATCCAACAAATTCTGCCAATTCTGCTACTTTGGTCTAAAAGTTGTAATCCCTTTATAATCCTCTATGATTACTGGTTTAGTGAATTAACAGTTTCCTAGTCCTTATCTAAATTTCTAATCCAATACAATTTTAAAATAAAAAATAATAAATGCATTTAGTTATGTTGGGCCCAGCTGCAAACACAAAGTACAAACGTTACACAAAAATTTAACCCCTTAAGGACACATGAGGAAATATTCCATCATAATTCCCTTTCATTTCATAAATTGTGTTCTTAAAGAGTTAGGGAAGGATCCGTTATAACATTTTGATTGACATATGTAGCCCCTTTGATCTATAATGTATACAATATGTTCAACCAGGAAAGCTGTATTGATACATGCATGTAATTAATCCTTGCAATATTTTCTAAACACTTAGCTTTCATTTGTTGCAGAACTGTTCTCTGCAGCCAGTGAGCATGCGCGTCCTTGTTGGTGCTGGGAATTGTCCAATTAAATGCTTCTCATAGAAAAACATGGATACATTTTTAAGTATTTTTTATGTGTCCATTACAATGGTGGCTTGGTATATAAAGCCATGTATATTAGGCACAGCCATTGGATGAGGTTGATTGGACTTGTAATCCACTAAAGCTATTAGATGTATTTATTAACTTTCACCATAATTAGACAGAATCTAAACACAAGAGTCGTAGTAAAGCATGGGCAGGAAACTTGTTTTAACTAATTTGATGAAAAACGAATTGGCTTGAGTGGCACAATGTTGTGTTTTGGTGGTTGTTGCCAATTTGTGTTTTTCCTTTATAAGGATAATTAAATTGCCTCGGAATGGAACCAGGTAATTCACCCTGCTATTGGTAGCCTATACAAGGCACCAAGAGTCAGCATGCAAACATTGAATAAAATGTATGTTGACAGCCAGGAAGAGAGTGCTCCAGTAGGCTGATTGACATCTTATGAAGGCAGCCCTACTTATCTCCAGAATTAAAGGGATTAAAGGGACACTGTAGGCACCCTGACCACTTCAGCTCATTGAAGTGTTATGGGTGCAATGTCCCATGTCCCTTAACCATACAATGGTAATTATTGCAGTTCTGAGAAACTGCAATAATTACTTTTGAGGGTTAACTCCTCCTCTAGTGACTGTCTACCAGACAGCCACTAGAGGGACTTCCTTTGTTCCGGTATCTGGCGTTGGGCATCCTCACGTTCTGCTTGAGGACTTCCAGCATCAGATTTTTCCCACTGAACAACGCTTTCCTATGGGGAAATCCTAATGCGAGCGCAGCCATTGCCGCGCATGCGCATTAGGTCTCCCCCGCCAGCTGACATCGGTGGGCGAGGAACATGGGGGGAGCCTGACCCTGCTCTGAGAGACATCTGTGCTGGATTCAGGTAAGTGACTGGAGGGGATTTAACCCATTCAGTGCCGCAGGAAGGGGGGCGCAAGCGAAGGGGGCCTTATTCTCACAAAGCATGTAGTAGCATATGGGGTTTTGAATATGAATGTAAACACAGCCACGTGGATTCTTTACAGAGCCTGGAGGAATGCATTGTAGCAAATCAGCATTTGCCTCTCTAATTTGACACAAATTGAGACTCAATAGCTTAATATCCTCTGGCAACAAACTCGTTGAGATACCTGTTCATGTTCATCATACAACATTTATCATCAGAATCTTATTACTTAAATATATTGTGCAGCTCTGTTGATCTCTTCACTGCCAGAAGCATCTTCTCTCTCCATGCTGTCTGTAGACGTATCCTGCTAATATATCGCAGGGCGAACATATGGTAGTTTTCCGAGCCATGCTTTATGTCTGTAGATTTGCAGTGTTATCTGTTTTTTTTTCTATTTCAAGAAGAAAATGCATGAGCTTGCCTTGTTATGTTTTACGTCTGTGGACTTTCCATGATATCCTGGTTTGCAAATATACAGATAGAGCACGGCTAGACAAAATCCCGTATGTTCTTCCTGCAATATAAACCCTGGATTCATCGTACAGGCCTGCGTAATCTGTTGGCGCTTTATAAATTATAACAATAATAACACTGGAAGTCTTCAGAGTTATCCCGATTGCAAGTCAAGCATGCGCAAGATGTATTTGATGATGTACTGTGGGGATTTTCCATGCTGCATTGGTTTGAATCTTGTTGCATGCAATAGGCAAGCTGAGAACGAGAACACGCTGTTCTAAGAGCAGAAGAAATGAGTTGGTTCCAGTCAGTAGGAATGGAGATATGGAGGCCAATTGTTTTAATTACCACTTGAAGTGATCTAGCTGTCATCATGAAGCCATGTAGGTCTATGTCCTCCTGAATTCATCAGATTAGATTGAAGGGATTTCCAATCTCCTTGGCAGGTCAGAACTGTTGGCAAGTGTCCTGTCCATTGTATCCAATGTTATACTAGGCAATTCATTCTTACAGTTCTCGTTGGTAGGTCAACACTTCAGGTCTTGTAGTATATATAAGCATAGGTCCCCCAGTCATGGTTTGTCTATGTTTTACCTAGATATTGGAATTCCGTTTTCAGTTCACTAAAATAACAGTAAAGACGTGATATATTCGGTTGAATCAAGCTAAGTACCTAACTACATGGAACGTTTAACTGGTTCTCTTGACAAAGCCTTTTGTTTTTGCCTAGTTTTTGTTTGTTTGTTTTTTGTTTTAATACTTTAATATTCTTTATTGATAGACGTTCATTAAGTAAATAATTTACCAAAGAGCAGTAGTAACATAAATTAGACAAATTAGAAATGTAAATCAATATGGTAAGAAACGTAGAAAAGCAGGTTCTCTGGAGATGTGGACAATACGTATGTTTCACAATGGAATAAAGAATCGTTTTTATAGACTTTTCCTATCTTCTTTTTCTCCATTACTGCTGCTTTTCCGCTCCGTATGTGGGAATATGACTCACAACGCTGCAAATAGAGGACTATTTAAGTATACCATCAAAATAAGCGAGCGCAACCCCATGATGATTCTTTCTGATGTCTCAATAAAAATTGTCAAATTGAAAAAAAGTAAGCGAGCACACACACGGATATTCTACAGCATTAATGCAGCCACATGTGTGAAAGAGTTTTTGTGGATTGTTGTTTTTTTTTATTATTCAAGGAAAACAATCTTCGAAGTGATAGTTTATATAATAGGGGGGTTTTTTTGCATGTATTTTAGCACTGGATATACCAATGCTCATTGGAAGTTTCATCATGACTAATTATGCAGAGATCTTAATGCTCATATTTGTTCATAATGAGCATAATTTATGTGTTTAGATTAAAGAGATCCTATTGTTCCAGGAAATCAAACCTGTATATGGTATATGGCTCTTGGAGTGCCCCCCTTCCTCGGCGCTGAAAGGGTTAAAACGCCTTCAGCCACTTACCTTAATCCAGCGCCGGGCTCCCTCTGCACCGGTGACCTTTCCTCCCCCGCCGACGTCAGCTCCTGAATGGAGCCGAATGTGCATGCGCGGCCAGAGGCGCGCGCACGCATTAAAAACCCTCTCATAGGAAGGCATTACTCAATGCTTTCCTATGGGGATCTTTTTTGATGCTGGAGGTCCATGAGGACGTCCAGCATCAAATAAGTGTGATTTACTCAGTGTAAATCGTGGAAGCGCCTCTAGTGGCTGTCAGGGAGACAGCCACTAGAGCCTGGATTACCCCTGCAGTGTAAACATATGTTTACATCTGAGGGGTTAAAACTAGAGGGACCTGGCACCCAGATGACTTCATTGAGCTGAAGTGGTCTGGGTGCCTATAGTGGTCCTTTAAATCTTAGAGGGAATAAGATAACTATGTAACTACATGCAAGGACAATACAAAGAGCTCTTTGGAGACCTGTTCAATAACAGAACTGTACCAAAGACAAAATGGTCATCAATTGAAAAAAGATAATTTCACACACAGCTACAAACATAATCCTCAATTAATAGAAGAAAATACCAGGACAAACCTTACCAAACACAATATACAAGTAAGAGTGCTTCATGAGAAGACATGTTCGGCAACCCAACTATTACCAGAGGAAAGATCAATGCAGGACTTTGATAGATAAATCCATAAAGCAGATGATATGTTAAACAATATTTCTGTAGGTGATAACTAAATGTATTGTTCTTTACTCCATGGAAGGTTGAATTATCTGTTGACCGTGGTTGCAATTAGTGATACTTAATATGCTGATACTCTTTGGGGAGGTCATCTTCTTGGACAATTTAGTGGAGCAGAATTATTTGACGTCCTTATTGCAGAAATATATAATGCATAGTGTGGTCACATCATGTCACAACAAAAAGTCAGAATATAGGCTTAAAGGAACTAGTGACTGATCGGCATTCTCGCTTTTACTGTGATTCCTACAAAGCCCCAGTTAAATCATTGAGTACATTTTCATTCATTTGTACTGAACAACCCTCATTTTAAGCTATATTTCCAGAATGTGCCCATTAGTGAAAAGCAAAATGTATTCAAATCATAATATGGAAACAACTGTGCGGATGAAAAGTTGCATTATGAAGAAAGGGCAAGAGTAAGCTAGGGATACAAATTTAATTAGTGAACACAAAGCATTCGAAAGGTCTTTCACTCAGATAACTTCTTACCCAGCACACGCAACAGGACAGACATAAAAGACAGGATGTCCCATGAAGTGGAAGGTAGTTTCACACATGTGGACTCAGAGATGATATCTTGACTTGGTGACTCTCTATACACAAATTACCTGAAAGCAGTGTACCAACTGCATTAGAAATGATCAAACGATATCTGTAGAGCTAGGTAGAACAGCCAGGATGATCCACTGGAAGTAAATTAATGTTCTGGAAAACCTTCATATCCCACCAGTACGTGTGCGGTCAGAATGCATTTTTGGCACTGTTTGTATTGTTAGTGACTACTAAACATTTTTTTTTATACATAAACCTGCAATAAAATGACACTTCCACCTGGACATGACACATTTTTTTTTTAAATCTAGCCAATAGGCTGATAATATGCAAACATATATAATTATACTAAAAGTTAAATATAAATATTTCTAAATGACAGTCAATCACAAAACAGCAATACCCTTACCCACCTCAACGGACAACAGGGGTATTGTTATGGTCCCTGAGGAAGTCTATTTGGTTAACGAAACGCACAGGACCAGACTTATTTAAATGTAATTTTAAGATTTTGATAAATTACCACATCTTAATTTCCTATGTTCGAATGGAGTATCTTTTGGCTACAGACAAGGAGCTAGAAGGTGGAGACTAATAGCCCGTCATACATTGAAGGGAGTCGCCAGTGAGCTCATATAATTCTATATATTTTGTGAGTGCAAGATTTCTAAGCTGGTGCGATTTACAAGTAACAGTATTATGCTATGTGCATTTTTAAATATGCAGCTGTAATCCTTAATATTGTCTTTGTACATATAATTAATTGAAACAGATATTTCACTAGAAGAATCTCTGTAGTACTCAAGAAAGGCTTCAGTAATGTTAAGAAGCTGGTGTGTCTTGGGAACTTCTCTCTTATTGAAGTATGAAAGGTCCAAAACAGGTTTGGTTCAGCTGAGCTGTTGTATGTTGCATTATTTATACAGTGCCCTTATTAAGTGAGGTGTAGAAAAAAAATGTAATGCATATATTACCAATTAAACTCTTTATGTGGCCTTAAATGGGACAAGGCACTAAGAGATCTCTGTAACGTGTAAACTTCAAGACACATTACACCAGCATTGACCACTCTAGGACTCCCTGGATCTCTACCATGATGCTTCCTGACTGTTATCATATGACTCTTTTGTATTGTATGAATGTACAGTCCACGTACTGTAAGTAGAGTAAGACAATTCAGCTGACACATTCGTTTCTGATCCATGCAATGATATACCTTACACGGAAACCGTGTATTCATAAAAAAATTTCAGGTTCCCATCTTATGTATAGTTGAATACAAAATACTTTTTCAGAGAACATTGTTTCAAAGCTGTGGAATGCAGGGGAGTCATACACAGAGAGTAAGGAATTCTAGATCAGCATGGGAGCATGGGAGAAGTCCTAGATATGAGTATGGGAGAAAGTACAGAACGGAAGAGTGGCACAAGTTCTGGTCAAAATGATGAGGAAGGGTTACAGAATATTTGTAGATATGAGTTGATACAGGGGGTGCAGTGTTAGTTGATTTTTGAGATATTGGACTTGGTATGTTGGTGATTTTGTGGTATTATCTACTACTAGAGAGATTACAGGTGTTGGAGTTGAGGGGAAGCAGGTGTCACTAACCGCTTATTTTTAGACATATTTAACTTTAAGTATTTGAGGTGCAATCCAGAGAGATTTTAGATAGAAAGTGTCCGACACCATATAGTAGAAAGGGTGATAGGTTAGGAGAAGAGAGGAGAAGTAGATGAGGGTGTTATCATTATGGTATTGAAAGTCAAGGTCATTGTGACATGGTAAAATGCTATGTTTATTGTTGGGGAAGGAAGCAAGATTACACAGGATCAAGAAGAGAGGCCAATGTCCAAAAGTGAGCTAAGCGATTGTGGACTAGCCTCGCTAGTAAATTTTAAGCTAGTTGGAGCAGAGATATAAGGTGGTAGTTTTCTGGGGCGGCATGTTTCAGAGGGCTTCCTAAGAATAGGTGTGATGGGTGCATGTTTATAGGAAGTGTAAAGATACATACTGAAGATGTGTGTTAATGTGGGTATTCGGCAGTAGAGAGGAAGATAGCAGGTGTCAGCTGGGCAGGTTGTGAGATTAGAAGAATGGAGTAGAAACCACCTTATTATACATCCAACAACATTCTCACTCCTGCTGCATCCAACTTTGGCACTCTGTTTTGATTCCTACAGACATTTATCCGCATTCTTCTAAGGGAATAAGCCTGAGTGTGATATCACAGCTGGTTAGTTGTCACATATTCACAAATAATACATGTGATCTTGTTCAACAGCACTGTGGTGATGGCTGTTGGGATTGACTTAAACTCCGCCCTGAGTCTTAGAAAGTCAGGCGGATGAGAAGTACAGCGAGTAGTCCCTATTTTGTCTCTGTATATCTTTTGATTTGGTTGGAATGTAACTCCAAATGAGTATTTTATAATGATTCTATCTTTATGAAAAATGTATTTTTCGGGGGTAGTGTGGGGTTAACAGTGTCGCTTTAACATGCCGTCCAATGGAACCTTTATTGTGTAGAATATTTAAAGTTACATGCGGAATATAACAAAGCTCTAGTCATGTACAGGAACTTAAGTCAGTTGACTGTGCAGAATCTTAATAACGGCACAAACAGATTGTGGTGTTGTAAAGCATTTACATGTAAGTAAAGACCCTGGAGTTGCCCTAATGTGCACTGTGCAGCCAAACAAAATTGTGAAAATTGGATGAGACACATGGGACAACTTGCATACAGGGGTCACTAGCACACAGGGGTTGTGGGCTGTGTTTTATGCCACTTCTTTTGCTGATTGCATTTGCTTTTCTATGTGCACAGTACTGCATGAGTGAGACAGCAGGCAGGACGTCTACTGGTCCTTAGATAGGCTGATGTTAAGGCTGGCCCACTGGGATATTTATCAGTGGACTGCAATATCTGAGGGTATAAAATCTAACGAAAAACACACAGTAAAGTAGAAAATATCGGCTGAGAATATCCGTTATGCTGCAACTCCAATAAAGATTTAAAAGAAATAATAATAATTAAGTAAACAGTGGTTGTTTAAAATTCTATTTTCACCACAATTCCAAAAAAGAACCGCATTTGGTAATCAGCAAGCTCCACATCATCTCCTCAAGGTAAAATGTATGATAAAGCATTAGGATGAATGTGAAATGTGTTCAGAACCCACTTTGGGTATTCATAGCCCATCTCACAGATACTTGGATATGGGACTTTAAAAATGTTTTTGAATTTTTGGGGTATGTTTATGTTCATTTGTTTAGCTTGCAAGATACTTATGACGTCTGTGTGTGTTTTTTTGTACAATGTTGCATATTATTCAATACAACACTGGATAAATTGCAGGCATATACCTCTAAATTATAGTTGTGAACAGAATAATTTCATTGATGTTTGAAAGTGTAAACAGCTGAAATATAAAAAAAAAATACAAGGTATGTGGAGCCACAACATTAAAACCATTTACGGAAGAAGTAAATAACATTGATTTTATTGTTACAATTGCACATCTCAAGTGGTGGGATATATTTGGCAGCTAGTGAACAGTCAGCTCTTGAATTTCACATGTTGGAAGAAGGAAAAATGGGAATGCAAAAATACCTGATTTACTTTGACAAAGATCAACAATTATGGCTAGACGACTGGGTCAGAGCATCTCCCAAATTACATAGTATACAGTGGCTAGTACCTACCAAAAGTGGTGCAAGGAAGGACAACCAATGAACCGGCGTCTGAGTCATAGCAGCCCAATGCTCATTGAAGTATAATCCCACAGAAGAGCTACTGTAGCTCATATTGCTGAAGAACTTACTGCTGGCCATGATAGAAAGGTGTCAGAACACACACTCCAGTCAGAGTCCCCATGATGACTACTGTCCACCACGGAAAGCACCTTCAATGGGAATGTCAGCATCCAAAATGGATCATGGAGCAATAGAAGAATAGAAGAAGGCCAATACAAACCATTGTGTGGAAATCTACTCACAAACAGGACTATACATAGAACACAAGGTCATGCATTTAGACTTGAAAAACATAATATTCAAGGATATAATTTTTTTAACTGTAGGGTAAAAGTTTCTTGATCCAAGGATAAATCCGACTGCCATTCTGGGGTCAATAAGGATTTTTTTTTCCTAGTTTGTTGCAAAATTGGAAGTGCTTCAAACTGTTTTTTTTTTTTTTTGCATTCCTTTGGATCAACAGCAAAAAACAGATGTGAGGAATGCTAATATTCTGGGACACCTTGGGTCCTCACCTATCTGTGGATGTTACATTGACACATACCACCTATATAGAGATTGTTTCAGACCATGTACACCACTTTATAGCAATGGTGTTCCCTGGTGGCAGTGGTCTTTTTCAGCAGGATAATGCACCCAGCATGTAAAAATTCAGGAATGAGTTGAGGAACATGACAAAGAATTTAAAGTGTTGCATTGGCCTCCAAATTCCACAGATCTCAATCCGACTGGGCATCTGTGCGATGTGCTGGAACAGCAAATTCAATTCATGGAACTTCCACCTCGCAACTTGCAGGACGTAAAGGATCTGCTGCTAATGTCTTGGTGCCAGATACCACAGGACATGTTTAGAGGTCTTGTGGAGACAATACCTCGCCGAGTCAGAGCCCTTTTGGCAGCACGAGAGTGATCTTCACTATATAAGGCAGGTGAATTTAATGTTGTTGCTTATCAGTGTATTATTAGATTATATTATTGATGTTTAGCTGTCACTTTCAATGCCACAGGCAATAACCGTTCCGCACTGCTCTGAGATGCAGCACTAAAAAGAGTTAATATTATTAGCATGGCTTATTTGTAGCTTGTGAGGCAATGGAACTTTAGAGAATACTAAATGGAGTTATGGTTTCCATGATTTGCTATGGAGCACTCGGACTCCAGACAGAACCCTTTTTTTTTAAATAGTGTTGCAACAATGCTACTCTAGTTAGTAAATAGGAATTGTGTTATAACTTTGCTGCGATGCTAGAAACAAAAAGGTCTGTCGATCTCTAGCAAATCGAGCTGTATGTGGCAGCCTAGGTTGTGATGTCATTATTTTATATACACCTACAGTACGGAGAACATAAACACACAGTGATCTCTTGAATGATGGCTAGTTTTTACTACCATTACCAAAGAGGACAACATCAACAAATGTGTTGTGTGAAGAACATCCTGACTGGAGTTAAGAGCCTGAAAAACATCTCTTTATGATACTGGTAAATATATATATATATATATTGTGGATAATACAGATATATAAGAACAGCATAGAGATGTTCTCACAAAGCAAAGAGCGGAGAGATTAATGTGCAGTAAAGGCTAGCTAGAGAAACCTAATACATTCAACTTTCTTTGGAAAGTTTGTCATTCTGAAAAGCTAAAGTGATTGAACGCATGGGTTCTGTGTGTCTGCATGATTTGCCTTTTTATCTGTTTCTCATGGATATTGACATAAACTGGTTAAATTTATCCCTGGCATTATGTATCTGTAGATTTATAAAGTACGCAGATCTATGAGACCACGCTTGCAACTGTTCGCGTTCTTTGATGTCACAGATCTAGGTACTGCTGAGGTGCTAATATAAATTTCACACACAAGTAGGGTTCCCATAGGAACCAACATGATTATTTCATAGCTCTGGCCACATATAGACACTACTTACTGCTGGACTCAACCTGTTACAAGCATGTCCACAGCATGTGCACTTCTGGTTTTACATCACCGATATGGCGAGTCTACATAGACGTAGAAATTGACATATATTGATAACAAAGATTGCTAAAGAGACAACTAAAATAAACATATTTTTTCATTATATTTTGGCACTTTGTTCAAATGACGACAATGGCACAATGAGAATAGATTGACCTTTTGTATGGCTTGTTGATAGAAACATAGAATGTGACGGCAGATAAGAACCATTCTGCCCATCTAGTCTGCTCAATTTTATAAATACTTTCATTAATCCCTGGCTTTATCTTATAGCTATTATTTTTAAACCTTTGCCCCTCTAATTTAAGACTATGTCCTCTTGTTGTAGTAGTTTTTTTCTTTTAAATATAGTGTCCTCCTTTACTGTGTTGATTCCCTTTATGTATTTGATTCCCTGTCTCGTCTTTCCTTCAAGCTATACATGTTAAGATTCTTTAACCTTTCCTTGTAAGTTTTATACTACAATCCATGAACCAGTTTAGTAGCCCTTCTCTGAACTTTCTCTAAAGTATCAATATCCTTCTGGAGATACGGTCTCCAGTGCTGCCTACAATACTCCAAGTGAGGTCTCACCAGTGTTCTGTACAATGGCATGAGCACTTCCCTCTTTTTACTGCTAATATCTCTCCCTATACAACCATGTATTCTGCTAGCATTTCCTGCTGCTTTATTACATTGTCTGCCTACCCTTAAGTCATCTGAAATAAGTCCCCTTAAATCATTTTTCTCAAATGTTGAGGTTAGGACTCTATCAAATATTCTGTACTCTGCCCTTGGGTTTTTACGTCCAAGATGCATTATCTTGCACTTATCCACATTAAATGTCAGTTGCCACAATTATGATCATTTTTCATTTGCCATTAGTGATGTCCCGAACTATTCGCTGAACTGTTCGCGAATGGTTCGCCACGAACTCCGGTCAGCAGACACATTCCAGCCAATCAGCAGCAGACCCTCCCTCCCAGACCCTCCCAACTCCTGGACAGCATCCATTTTGAAGCTGCATTCTTAGTGAGCTGTCCAGGAGGTGGGAGGGTCTGGGAGGGAGGGTCTGCTGCTGATTGGCTGGAATGTGTCTGCTGACCGGGGGTTCGTGGCGAACCGCGGCGAACCGTTCGGCGAACAGTTCGGGACATCACTATTTGCCATTTCTCTTATCCCTCCTGGAACATCAGCCCTGTTACATATCTTAGTATCATCAGCAAAAAGACATACCTTACCATCAAGACCTTCTGCAATATCACTAATAAAAATATTAAAGTACAGTGCCTGAGGTACCCCACTGGTGACAAAACCATGCTTCGAATTCAGCAATATTGGAATCCAAACTTAAAGATTGCAGTTTATTGATAAGCCTTCTATGCGCAACAGTGTCAAAAGCTTTACTGAAATCTAGGTAAGCAATGTCTACTGCACCACCCTATTATTTTAGTTACCCAATCAAAAAAATCAATAAGATTAGTTTGGCATGATCTCCCTGAAGTAAACCCATGTTGTCTCTGATCTTGAAATCCATGTGATTTTAGATGTTCAACAATCCTATCCTTTAACATGGTTTCCATTACTTTTCCCACTACTGAAGTAAGGCTGTAGTTACCCGACTCCTCCCTACTACCTTTCTTGTGAATGGGTACAACATTCGCTAACTTCCAATCTTCTAGGACTACATAAATATGTTAATGGTTTTGCTAGTTTTGATGAATTTTCCCAGCACCACATCATACGTTGGCCTTCTATGTATTATTATGATAAAAATATACATTTAATTTTTATGCCAACCCCTTATATTTTCATTAACGGATGGCTATCATTTTGCTGGGTTTGCAATATTATGGTTACTTAGCGCTATGCTTAATATGTTTTTGTAAGGTTTTAAAAATAAAACTTAAATGTAGAACTCTACATCTCTACGTTTTTTTTCTTTTCGGTTTTTTTCTGCAACTGCATCTTTGTCAACCATCATGTCAATCATTGTTAAAAGCTTGGTCCTCTGCACCTGCCACTCACCATAGAGAAAGCACACAAAGAGGAAAAAAATGCAGTGATTCTATTTTTCCTTCTCATTTGCAATATTTGCCCTGGCTTTGCATTGTGAAAAGTGGATTATGGTGTAATTTGCTAAATATTAAAAAAAAAAAAAAACTTAAAAGAAAACTGAGCATATCATGAAAATAAGAGGTTAACACAAGTTATAGGTAATTTACATTTTTAATTCAATGGTGTAAATTCTAGAGAGTTCCCCTTTTAAATAGATTGTAATATTCAAAGGTTAATCTTACTAGCCCAACTCACATCTGCCTCTATTAACATTTATCTTAACAATGTTCAATTGTGAGTCCACAATTAGTGACTTTCTGGAGCCCCTTCCAAGACCAGTGACCTTGTTTAACCAGTGGCTTCTCAATGCCACAGCATGGCTAGTTCAGCTTTTTACTTTCTCTTTTAAATTTTTGTATTTATTTATTTATTAACTTGCCTCTGTTTTTGGTCCACACAAAATTTAACTTATGCAAAAGAACTATCTACAAGTTAAACACATCTATCATCTGGGCATATTCTGTACCAACCTAATTAATTTCTCTATTTCTTGCAATTTAACAACCAATGTGCCAGCAGATGGGTAAATTAAAAAGTATTTTTAATTTAATTTAATACAATTTCAATACATTATTTTGTGACAATATACAATACATATATATTTTTGGTATAAACAACGATACACAGAAAAATGCTGGCATGATGCATTTAGTTTAAAATTTAGATTTATTTTAAAATATATATATTTTTTTCCCTTTCCAATAAATATTCTATATAGATTTAACATTTTTTTTAATTTTCTTTTTATTATTAATTATTTATCTAAGAAATATAGTGATAATGACTAAACAGAAGGAGCAGCTGCAGACGGATCTTTGCACCCTGTACCGCAGGGAATAAATAAGGGGCACAGATGCTGTTAAGTGTATAGTGTATGCAAGGCCACCGAATTTGCATGTTGACCACAGGCCTGAAAGCTCTATCCATTTGTCCTAGATTTAATAATAAGGTTTCAGATTTCACATGCTTTTCATACTGAAAATCCCCCAGCAGCAGTAGCAGCAGTTAAATCAAGTGGCTAATGGTGGGCGTAAGCAAGCACAGTCTTCAATCAGCCTGCAAACTGCTTCAATTCTGGCTTGTCCTGTTCTCCTGATGGGTAAATCTTTTTGGAATAGCAATATTTTAAAGATGTAGAAGGCACTGATTCACCGTGGATGAAGGCAGTATATGTAAAAAAAAAATATAAATAAATTCACCCAGACAAAGACAAAGTGGTCTTGTCATTCTGAGATAGCTTAATGGTTAGTATTCCAACTGCACTAAATCTAATATTTGTTGCTGGTTCAGTTCCTGGACAGGTCCATCTCAGTCGTTCATACTTCTAAGAACAATAAGACGACTACCCAAATGCTGGGTAGTAGACCTAAGGACATACATGGAATCCATTAAAAGCTACATGTCCTTTATTTTATAAAAAAAAAAAAAAAATATATATATATATATATATATATATATAAATTAGTCATTTATTAAGTCTTTAATGTTTTTCTATTTTTTTCTATTTATTTTTTAATTGTTTAAAATAATGTTCAGATAATTTTAAGCAAAGTACTCATAAGCAAAATTACTAGAAATTATTTTTTTAATGTTTTTATTGCATTTAATTTTATTTAAATTTTTTATAAAATATATATGTATAATTTTTTTGAATTAAATTTTTTTTTAACTTTTTTTCTTTCTTCAGTCTTAAAGCATGTTAGTCAGCGTGTCGACCCGTCATCCCAGAGTATCGCACTATAGCAGAATAAGAGTTGTCACAAACTTTTCAGTCCAGATTAAAAATGTTCCCCATTAGATATACTTCCTTTTAGCCTAAGCACGCTGCGTGGCTTATAGAACAATGATGTCGGAGTTCCCAGATTGGTTTGGCAGTTCTATTGTTCTCGGAGGGTAAACCAGACGCACTTATGTCCCAGCCTTTTCCATGGTCCTTTTGTTCACACCAAATTAATCTTTCACTGTGATAGCATTCATGTTGGTATGTTATAGGAGTTGCATCCTAGCAACCCTGGTTGCTGGGCAACACAGTTCCTAGTAGATTTTTCTTGTTAATATACTTTATTTTGTTGGAGGCACTCCGAAGGCTACACATATTAAAATAACACATTACTTAAGACGCAGTCATAATTGGTTTGAACCTTTAATAAAATGCACCTGCAGTATTAATCACAATTAAGTGTTATTGTTGTACTTCCCTTTTGTAGGGCGATCTGGCTTTTTAAATGTGAAGTTGAGATGGGTTTGATTAATTTAAGAAACAAAGTATTCTTTCCATATCCTTGGATGCTTTCTTATATAGTGGCGTGTAAGAAAACCACACAAACAATTCCATCAAGTTTTTTGTATATATAGTATATATACACACACTCCAGTCCAGGGTGATCTGTTATATGTTATAGATGTTTTATCCTAGACTGATTTCATTGTTTGACTATATACATACACTTGCATAATGTATCACATCAGGAAACCTAGTCATAGTATGTACAGTATTCCTGTAGCTTGCACAGATACTGATATACTATGCCCCGCAGAATTGTTTTACTTGCAGAAGTACCGGTAGATGTTTCTAATGAGTGGCTGTTTGATAAAATGTTCATGAACTATATAATGCCATATACAATCTAGAATATAGCATTGTAATAGACTTATGCTACCTGTAATATATATATATATAAGTTTGTAACACTATTTACTGGTTTACTTTGTACAGGGTGGGCCAAAATTCAGAATAGGGTTTGAGGAGTCAATAACGTTTTTTATTACTGAACCATTTATAATATCACATGCAATGAATGCTTAATGTATGGAGATTTGTTTGACCAGATAAAGAAGATGACATCTTTTAAATGAGCCTCATTTGCCTGCTCGCAAAGATGGGCGCTTTCAATTGCATTGTTCATAACATTAGTTTCAGGCTCGATTTTCTGCACGGATATTCTGTTTGAGACGCTCAAGTGTACCATTTTTTGCACATACACCTGCTCCTTCAGATATCCCCACAGGAAGTAATTGGAAGCTGAAAGGTCAGGCGAATGTGGCGGCCAATTAATCCGGGAATTTCTTGAAATTATCCGCTCGCTGAACAGTTGTTTCAGTTTTTTTTTAAATGAAATTAAATTCCACTATATTTACTTTTTATTCCTTCGTGATATTGCTCATGATGAATCTCCCAAGACTCAGTTATAATATGTACCTCCAACAAAAAAATTGAACTACAAATACGTTATTTACCTGTCAAATCCTACTCTGGATTTTGGCCCACCCTTTAGTAGTAATACAGTATTTGTAACATCTTTTTCCTATAACATTTACACTCCTTCGGCGCTGCCGCAACCTCCTCCTTGAGTGATGTCATCCTGGAGGCGTGCCGGGATGCACCTGAGATTCTGCCATAGAGATCATTGAATACAGTCATTCTCTATGGCCAACTGTGACAACGCTGAGGACATACGCGTTTGGCGTGGTGGTATGTAATGGTGTTAGAACCAGGAAGTAAGATTCCTGTCTCTCATACCCAGGGGGTGGCTTCAAGCCCCACTTCCAAGCCATTTAATTAGTGTACTATAGAGTTTTGGTGGGTAGGTGAATTGGGGTGGGGAGGCAGACTGCTGGCACTATGACGTCATCAATAAAATTAAGTTGCTAAAGTGTCTAGTGTCCCTTTAACAATGCGCATCACTTTATTTTTGCAAATATGTATTCAGAGTACTCTCGGTTTCAGACCTTCATGATTTTTAAGGTTTAAGTGCATTGCTTTAATGCTTTCTGCAGTCTTTTCATTTTCCAAGGTCAATGCGCCCAACTGTACGCCGTGAAGAGCTATCACTGACTCAGACTAACAAATCTAAAAAACAGTACACTACTTCAGGGAAGGAATTACAAATCTTGCCAAAAAGATTGCAATTTAAACGGATTGATAGAGTAAATTCAATGTCTAAATTGTGAGTTTATAAAAAAAATATAATTTTTTCCAGGACTAAATTGTCTGTTCCTAAGAATATGCCTCTCAGTTCATTGTAATTATCATACTTCTGTCTTGTCCTTGATTAATCAGATTTTCAAACAAAATTATGAGCATGTCTGTAGGGATTCCATTAGAACTGAATTAGATCACAGAAAAAATGGACAAGTCATAGACAGAAAGTGAGTAGAATGTTAACCAATATATAAGAAAATTCAGTTTCTATTAGAAATGGACTTGTAGAGTGTGCTATTGCGTTAAAGGGATCAGAGTCAGCTGATCACTCTCTGCCAGTAAACTAAGCCATGCACAGACAGATTTCAGTGCAGAAAGCGTATTGCACTGAATGGTGTGACTGATGCCTGGTGGACTCAAGTAGCAAACAGTTTGACTACTTATATTGGGGGGGTGAGGGCTCTCCTGGCACCATAACCACTACAGTGTGCAATAATGATGTTTGGAGTTTTCCTGTTAAGTACTGTTTATCAGATGCACACAGGTTTTTGTTGGTCTCCAATAAGAATTTCTGTCTTCTACATGTCCAGCTTTAACTATGTAGTAATATATCTACGAGTCCGTTTTCTATGTTTGATGGACCAAAGAAACACATATGGTGCGTATTCAGTTTTGTCTTTGACTTTTAGGATATTTAACTTTTATAAAATACTGTGTGGACATTTTGTGTTTGGATGTGTTGCCACTCTACCCAGGCAATACCATTCGGCCCATAGCTGTGTTATATCGATTATTTATTAGGGGTGGGCTGTTCTCAAAAATTGCATGTGTGCATTGTATGGCATAGTACAAATATACTTAATTGGTGTATTTCACTGCTGTTAGTCAAATAGCCAATACCCTCTGATAAGCATTTTCCGATGAACCAATCAGAGGCCGGAATAGTGGAAGTATAGGATCACGTCTTTATTACAATAGAGGAGAAGCAGTCCGAGCTGGTTCTGAGAGCATACACATTAAAATCTTGACTATATACATGATATCAGTGAAAGAGAATTGAAAAAAAAAACAGAAGGGAATTTTACCTTTTCGGACATAGCATTCACCATTCTTTCTCTATTCTCCAAACAGGATAGTAGACTCTTTTAAATGGGAGGAGTGTATTAACGCCTACACACCTGCTGGCCTTGAAAACCTTAATTATACTGCTAAGCATACACTTTTGCGACTAACCTTTCAGCAACTTTAACCGATATATCTGTTTTTATACTAGTTTACATTTTAGCATTGCATAACTATATACCGGTATATAATTAAGGCTCTTAACGTGATATTCATTACAATCCCTATTCTTTTGCTAGCAAACAACTATATAGCCAGTTCCTCAAGCTCTGCTGAAATGTTCTTTCAGAATGTGACCTTGAGATAGAACACTGGTTTGATCGAGAATTTACAGCAGGCTAAGGTTTATTACAAGCTGGGAAACAAGGACAATAGATGTTTAGCAGAAATACAAAATTAAGTCTTGGGTACACAATGGAATGCCTGCTGTATAGGATTTTAATTCTATCAATACCTCATTTTATTCTCTCAGAATAATAACACTGTAAAGCACTTAATTAGGAAGGATGAGATGAGCAGGTTGATGAGTCATACGATTATGACTGGGAAGGCCAGCCGCTAATAATGGGCATGCCCATTAATAGGAGGTGCTGTCTGTGGTCTCATCCTATTGGCTGGCTCAAGACCAACTGTAGGACGTAGTGCAACCTGGTAGAAGATAGGCCAGTGGAAATAGGTAAAATGGTATGGGAATGGTCTTAATATAAGATATATACGGTTAATGAAGCTAGCCTTCCACACAAAGAAAATACATTTTAGTCAAATAATAAGAAAGAAGAGAGTTGGAGAAAACAACTTTGTATGCTTGAAAAAATGCCAAGGAACTCTGGAAAAAAGTGACAGCTGCGGATAAAATGGGGATTAGTCATTAACTCATTATCCACTCTTCTCTAATGATCAGATGAACCTAGTAGTGTCTTGAGATCCATATCGAAGAGAGTAGAAAGTCATACCAAACGGAGGCCATGCCGGCAATGGCAGTGAGATTAAGCTATATTGATCAATTGGATAGTCGGTCATTGTGAGATCACCGTGTCCACAATGTCCTTGCGGGACATATCACATACAGGAGGTTTAGTATCTACTTTGAGAGGTATTATACTGTTGGTTTTTTTTTTAGCAAAAGTTTGAGGCAGAACACTGGAAAGAGTGTTATCCACTCTTCCCTAATGATCAGATGAACCTCCATTTTTCTTACAGTCTTCACTTTGGCATTAAATAAGCCCATGCGAGGGTAGTGTCTTGAGATCCATATCGAAGAGAGTAGAAAGTCATACCAAACGGAGGCCATGCCAACAATGGCCGTGCTATATTGATCAACTGGATAGTCGGTCATTGTGAGATCACCGTGTCCACAATGTCCTTGCGAGACATATCACATACAGGAGGTTTAGTATCTACTTTGAGAGGTACTATACTGTTTTTTTTTTAGCAAAAGTTTGAGACAGAACACTTGAAAACATAGAAGAAATACAAGCATACCACCAAATATTAACCCATTCACAGTCATCTTGTAAGGCTATAGGTCAAATCGAAGTACTTCATGAAAATTATCAATATGCCCTTCTACCAGTCATGGATTGAGCATTCCCTACCCACTTACACGATACCCAAAACAATTCTATTTTAAAGCGCCATCATTCAAATTTAGAAGTAAGCTTGTGATAGTAATGCTAATGCATTTTAAGTTACAAAATGTTATATCATAGAACACTCTTTTAAATATAAGACAGAGAGGCACACATTCTACATGATAACTCTATAAAGCACTTAATTAGGAAGGGATAAGGCAAATGGGATTATTTATAAACAGGGTCTAGATTATGTTCTAGATGCAGGATAAAAGGGGATGAGTCGGTGTTTAGAGTACATTAAATGAACAATCTGCCTTGTGCATACATCCTTTAAAAAGTAAAGTAGCATTATGTATGCTATAGTAGCAATATAAAAATACTTCTGTTTTACTGTTCTTGTGTTTCTTAGCAGTTGTGCTAATTAACAATGCAAACACCACTTTTTTTTAACTTTCATTCCCTAAACTTGTGTGACTTTTTGTTAGGCAGTCCTAACAAACATTTAGAAAAAAATATTATATTTAACAAATGGACTATTTTCGAAATCCTAAATAAAATATGAATGTGCCGGCTCAACGATATTGTCAAAGCCAAGAACATAAAAAGATTGTTACATAAACACATTCTGTTAGATGTTGTTACACTCATTTAACAACTATAATAAACATTAAAAAATGGAAGATAAAAATAGATGGAATGATTCCTAAAAATTCTGTCAGTATAACAGCACTTTATTTGCTATAATTGACGAATCAAGAATCATATATATCCGTTTAATGACGTTACCTACAAAACGTCAACTCATAGGAGGTATTTGCCATGATGTTAATTCTGCTCATGTACAAAGCAGTTTTTCAGGGTGTTGATAAATGATAGAAACTCTTTTCAATCAACTGACCAAGCACTGTTGTCTGTTGAATTTTATAAAAGGAAAATATTGTTTGTTAAAGGGACAATCTAAACACCAATGTTAATTAATGTTAATAAAGTGATTTTGTAGCTTTTTGACGCATTAAGCAATGCACGATTGTGACATGTATTTTACACCGTGAATAATTTATCTTTTTTTTTTCTTCTCAGGAATTCAGGTCCTTATATCACAGCTTCAGAAACAGTAATAAAGTGTCACGTGGTGCATGTAGCAACTTCATGGGCTTAAAAGATGATTTTGAGAATAGCCTCGGCCATCTTTACGTGGAAAGCAGTGAAACTCACATAAGTGCAATTGTACCGTGGTCCATTCTGCGGAAACCAACAATGGATAAAGTCAATTCCAGGAAAGAAGACTCTGACAAAGACACTTCAGAAGAGACGGGTAGTTCCAGTGGTGAATCGGAAGAAAGCACAAATTCTGACAATGAAGCTGAACTGTCCCAAAGACTTGCAGTGGAACCTTGTCGGATCACAAAGGCACATAGGCAACTATGCCGATCCCCTTGTATTGAGCCATACATTCTAAAAAGGAATGAGATTTTGCAAGACCTTAAAACGGAAGAGGATCTTACAGGGACTAAAGAGATAAAGAAACCACCAGATGTGGTGAAAGAATACCAAACCAAACTGGATTTTGCACTTAAATTAGGCTACTCTGAAGAACAGGTGCTGCTTGTTCTGAACAAGTTGGGTACGAAATCTTTAATTAATGACATTTTGGGAGAGCTAGTCAAGCTTGGTAGTAAGAGTGAGAGTGAACAGAATGGTGTTGCCAACAATCCAGTGACAAGGGAAGCTTCATCATTTGAATCTCAGCGACCAGAGTCCCCTTTTCACCAGGAGGTGATAGATGATACTGAAAACCTAAGACCAATTGTCATTGATGGCAGTAATGTTGCAATGAGGTGAGTACATTGATGACAGGACATAATGTGAAAAGAATAATATATGTCTGCCACCATTTGGATTTAATGTAATGTATGATAATGTTTAAGTTTCTTAATAGTAAATGCTTAGAAACTGTTATTTAAAACTCTACTTAACTGATGCTGTCCCTCGCAGGTTCTGCCAAATTCAATCTTCAGCTCCTGGTGCTTCAACTACCAGTAGCCCGCTTCAGTGCGACACTGTCGCACATGTGCAAGAGTACAGTATTGATATTGATATCTATGGATGATCCTGCAAAACTGCTGGATCCACCACCGATATTGTCTTGTGATGAACAAGACGCTACCTTAATCCTACAGCCATCAATATCAACAACTGGGAGAGTGACAAAACGTGACGGTGGTAGCTCTGCTTTTTTTTTTTATTATCAAGTTTTGTCAACTTGAGGATATCTTATGCCTACATAGTAATTTTTATGAACACTCCAACACAGTCTTTATGAGCATTACGTAAAGATTTTATTTTTACTTTTTAGGACTGAGTAGCTTTAACATATCAAGTTAAAAGAGATCACTATTTCCCAGGATTTATTTTTATATTATGTTTACTATTCTCCTATATTTAGCAATTATATGATTGTGAGCTCTGAAAATAGAATTAAATGTAGAAACTCACTTCTCTTTATCTTTCAGTTCGCCTTTTGGCTCCCTGTCAATTATCTTCACAAATGTCCTTTTTCTGCGATTCACCATAGTTATTGGAAGAGCTGAAACAGAAACATGGTTTCAGTGTTTCTCCTCATTTGCATTGTGTGCCTTTGCTGTGCCCTTGCAGTATGAGATCACTTGCTCAGTCTTTTAATTTGACTTTCAATGTTTTATTTAATGATGTAATTTTCAGAGAAGTAACAGTTCCCCATTAATGAAAGGAACAGTCCTTGTTAGGTATGCTGACCAATAGAACTCTGTCTGTGAGGGTCTTAGAGGACCTTTTCATCAACAATTCAACCAATGATCATGTTAAAATGTAAAATAGCATTATATGGACTGACCACAGTTAAGAGTTTAGCAAGAACTGTCTGTGTAGAAATATGGGAGAAGCGACTAGTTTTGCTGCTATTTATGAGATAGGTCATTTGAAAGTAGTCCAGCACCATTAAAGAGCAATTAAAATGAACTGATGATTAATATTGGAATAACATTCAGTTGTTTATTCGCTAAACAGTGACTTGTATAATCGTCTTCAGAGTTTGTTTATAGAAATGTATATAACATCCTAATTATTTAGCATAAGCAGTTGTATAGAGTATACTGAATAATTGGGACTTTCGATGTCTGAGTGTGTATAAGATGGCTCAATTAGGATGATATAGACTGAATTTGGTCCATATATGGGATTACATACGTGATCATATTTAGGCTCAGCTGATTAAAGCAGAATTTAATGTATGTGTGTGTGTATATATATATATATATATATATATATATACATGCTGTCCTGAGGAAACTCCTGATCGGGGACTGAAACGTTAACTCTAGCATCAAGTCTATTGTTTTTTAACTATGAAATATTGAAAGCCATGTTTTAGAAGACCATGAGTATCTTTTCTACTTGGTATACAATTGTGACTACGGTCTGGCACCTATCACCATGTGAAGTCAGCCTGAGAGCAAGGATCCTTTAGATTTATACATATATATGTTATAAATGTGTGTGTGTGTGTGTATACATATGACAGGACATATATATTGAGAGAGAGAGAGAGAGAGAGAGAGACAGAGTAGTGCTACTGTACTTCTTATGCATAAAGTAGAGTTGATTAAAGTGCTAATGACATTTTTCTTCAAAAGCTGTTTGATGTTCCAAAGTGATAATTGCAGCAAGAGTGTTAGAGATGGGATATGATGTACGTTTTATAAGCCAGTCACGTTGATTTTTATATTAGCAAACTAAAATTCCCTTGTCTGAAGTTTAATTTGTATTATTTATTTATTTTACTGTAGAAGCTCTTATTTTTCTTTGGACTCTAATTGCATGAAAATAAAGGAGATGCAGCAGGGGCAAGTGAACTTAGGCTGAGCTGTAGTGATTATGTTGCGCCATCAAAATACAATTATATTTTTTTATCGAGTGTTTTGTTGCGTTCGGCTGGCCCACGTCATCGGGTCATTGCTTAGAGAGGCACTGTAAACGTATAAAAACTAACAGATAAAGCTCCAGTCAACATAGTGAACCCTGGTAAGCAAAAGCTCCTGTTCAGGCTCCCAGAAACACTATAGTGGTAAATAGAAATGTAGTGGTGAGATCTGCAATAATGACCTGTTTAAGAGTTTTGGAGAACAGCTGTTCTATAGTGCTCTTTGGTGACCTCCCACTTACAGTTCTAACAGAGAGAAGAACTGGTGGCCAAGATGCTGGGGAGTGTATTGCTCTATGATAGTCCCTCATAGAGACACAAAACTCACCTTTCTTCCTTCGGGGACTAGAGAATATTCCTACAGAGACTGGCATTGTTGGCCATGCCACCAGCAGAGGTTGCTGCCCACAGTGAATTATCACCGGAAACACAATTGCCATGTCCCAGTTGATCCACTTAGGAATGCAGACCATAAGCAGTAAACCGCTGTTCTTGTTAGAATATAGGGGACACCTATGTCGTCAATCTACTATGATACCTGCCCAGTTATAATATATTTCCCACTTATTCCTACTCATAATCAGAACTTTGTCTATAGTATTGCTGCAGATTGGCTTTATGCAATTACATGAGTTTTGTTTATTTTTGTTTGTTTGTTTTTGTTTTTTGGTGTTGCTGCTCCTTATCTATAATTTTCGTATAGTTCTCATAACATTAAAATGATGTATACCTTATGTACAAACTCCAATGAAATGCAAATTTTGTAAAATTCATATATAAAAAGAGCACAGTTTTACAGATGAGCCAAAAATGTGCTTAGGGGAAAGCATTCTGTGTCCATTTTTTTCCATGCATGTCACGTGCAGATTTTGTACCTGTGTCATGCCATCCTGGACTGTTCCTAATACCTAATAGGTCTTAGAGAGCTTTTGCTAATTTGCCATGCAAATTATTCCTTATATAAAAACACCCACGACCATCGATAAGAGGTGTTTTTAGCTGAGAATACACAGTGAAAGGTTTAGTTATTTCACATTGTGTTAAATTAAACATGTATTTTTGCCTCAATTATCCCTCTCTGCTTGGTACAGAAATGGGAGTGTTAAGTATTCACTGGTATAATTGGCCAAATTCTAATAGAATTTCTGTTGTAGATGAGAAATCATTAGCTACAAATTGTGCTTGTAATTTCCTTTTCATCTACTGAACTACTAAAGGTGGTATGATTACAAGAACTGGATGAAAGCTTTTGACTACCTGGCACAATTTAGATATGCGGTGTCCTTCATGCCTCCACAATATAAACAAGCATGCTGGGAAAAGTTCTAAGTTCAATCAGCCAGCTCTACTCCTGTAAATTTCATTTCATGTTATCATGGAATGGAGCATTGACGAAAACTCTGTTCTAGAGTAGGGTATGAATAATGAAACTATTCCGGATTCTGTATATAATGGTACTCACACTAACCCTCCTATAGAGCGGTTTATTCTAGAACAAGGAAATCAGATGGTCTGTGTTTTTGACCGGAGCATCCCGCAAATTAATATGGCTGGGTTGTTGTTGTTTTTTGTGTTTGTTTTGTTTACTTTTTTGTTTTTTCAGACCAAATTAATTTGATTAAAATGGTGTCAGCTTGATAAATATTTGACATCTCGACCAGATTACTATCAATTGTTCCAGAGATTGCTTACCTTTTCACCCTAGATAATTTCCTATGATGCTGAAATGTCCAATCTAGATTGTATTGGAGGAATACTTTTTCATTTTCTTCAGCTAATCTTGTCTGTTCTTTTCCTACAGTCATGGTAATAAAGAAGTATTTTCCTGCCGTGGGATCAAATTAGCTGTCAGCTGGTTCTTGGAAAGAGGCCATAAGGATGTTACAGTGTTTGTGCCTGCATGGAGGAAAGAGCAGTCCCGGCCAGATGCCCTCATTACAGGCGAGTTGCAGAGGAAATGTTAACATTGTCTTCTTGTTCAAACCCTTGTGTAAAAGTATTGACACAAGATGTTCCAAATGAATTAGTCTCTGTTGTGTGTCATTTAAACAACTTTAAACAACTCTGTTTAATACATTATTCCCAAAAAATAAATATAGCTATAATAGTCACTTAAAGACCTGAGATGTTTTACCATGGAGGTGGCCATTCTACAAAATGTTCAAAACATAAGCAACCCATCAAAAGTAGAGATTTGTTTCACTGTGTGAAATAATTAACCTTTAAAAAAGTGGGAAAGCAACATATTGTTCAGCTATCTAGAGGCTTTGCTAAGTATACCCATCATTGCAACAGACTACACTCATTAAACATAAACGTATTCATAGTTACTCAGAAGAATTGTAGGGATTCCTTGTTTGTTTGTTTATCCTCTGAATAGTTTTGTAGTTTATATTGGGTCTTAAAACAATTCTAACATGTTGTCCTCCTCCACCCTCTCTACCCCTAAGATCTTAAAATTCTGAAAGTAGTAGTTATCTTTTAAAATGATGATGAGAGCATGGAAAGTTGATCTTGTCACCGTTATCCAGGATTGTAAAACTGGAAAGGGAGGGTCACGTAATGAACAACTAGCAATCAAAGTTGCTCTCTACTCCACTCTACTCCCCCTGTCTTCTTTCCTCCGTCAACCCACCATTTTTGTAAAAATAATTTTGCTTCTCTTATTTACTGCTTTTGATCTTCTTTGTTTAGACCAGTGTACTGGTTATAGTTCCAGGAGTCCTATTGTGCCATCCAATAATTTGTATAGATGGTGTTGCACTTACCTCGGTCCTCCAGGCATGCAAGGTCCAACCTCTCTTCACAGATATTGTTAATTCAGTAGATCCAACACCTGCAAATTTGATTTTAGTTCTGTCCTTCTTTGAACATTTGAACATAATTCAGCTGACCACAGCCAGTAAATTCCATCCAGACTTGGGCAAAATTGATATTGCCAAAGCAGAAGAGGAACTTCGACTTTCCACTTTAATGACATCTCTGAAGAGAGGCCAGACGACAGGACGCCTGGGTAACCCAGGCTAGTTTAAATTGCAAGGGGATAACTGGGATGACACAAGTGGCTAGCTTCACTAGTGTAAACAAGCATCTCAAAAGCATGTCATCCAGATGTTGCTGCGCTACAACTACCATAAATCTCTCTCTATCCATGCTTGTAGGCCATAAAAATCTGGTGGGCTTGTTAGGTGCAGAATTTGAGATTTTGGAGCTTGAATCTGCACATTTTAATAGCATTGCTTATAAAATGACCAACTGGTAGGACAGCTATTGAATGCAAGTTTTACTTTTTTCAAGGCTACATTAAAACACCTCTATGAGATGAAAAATTAAATGAATGAAAGTATTTCGGTATACCACTTCGCGATATTGCGTTAAGAATACTTCTTGTGTATCTTGAACTGAGCGTTGGTATGTTGATAATCCTTTGTATGTACAGAAGGATATTTAATATATCTTTTAAATCGCTCTATAAACTATCAGAATATCTTGTAACACTATACTTTGTTTTATCACAATTTTGTTACAGATCAGGAAATCTTACGGAAGTTGGAGAAGGAAAAAATCCTGGTGTTTACCCCGTCTCGGCGTGTACAAGGTAGAAGGGTGGTGTGTTATGATGATCGTTTTATAGTGAAGCTGGCATTTGAATCAGAAGGAATCATTGTGTCAAATGACAACTATAGGGATTTGGCCAATGAGAAACCTGAATGGAAGAAATTCATTGATGAGAGGTTGCTAATGTATTCATTTGTCAACGACAAGTAAGTAACATATGTTCCATTAGGAATGAGGGGACAATATTTTTCTGTACTATACCATACATAAACACATTTCACAAAGAAAGGCAAAAGCAATAATTTAAAATTGAAAGCTTGGTGCTTTTAATAAATATGGGTCAGTGTGGGAGGTCTGTATATGTGATCCTACTGTGGTACTACTTGGATCAGAGAAAGTCTGTATTTGCAACAGAATTAATTTAATTGCACAGACTTATGAGGGCGCACTCAAAGAAGTCTTTGTTGATGGGATACAGACGTTTTGCTCCCTACATAAAAAACAAACAAACTTGGAAACAACTTGGAAACATCCCCTAGCCCTGATGGAGAAGTTAATGTCATGAAGAGGGACAGGAATTATTTGATTAAAATATATGGAGATGAGAATCGACTGTGGAAGATTTGGTATATGTTAAGGGAGACAAAATAGTTTTGACAGATGTGTGTAGAGAATAAAACAAAGGATGGGAAAAAGTATTGAGACTGTTGGTGTAGGAGAAACAGTGGAGAAAGTCTAGTACAGAGAGTGAAATAAAGAACCTTGTGTAGAGAAAGACAGGCTAGAAAAATAAAATAAGAGTAAGGGAGAGAATACAGTGTGAGCCGATAGATGGGGAAAAGAGGTGGTGAGAAATATGTGGGGCATCAAATCTAAATTTTCTCCCAAGGGAATAAAAAACTTGGATCCACTCTGCAATAGCTCCTTAGTTATTTTCTAGTTATATTGCCATGTGCTCAGTAAGGAGAAAGCTAAAATTTGAATTGTCATGAAACAGCAGATACATTTCTCATGGACGTCATGGTGATATTTTTTAATTTGAATTTATATTATCGACATTGGCTCTTGTTCCCACTTTTTACTCATGATTCCAATTTCAAAAACATATATTACAATCACAGATATAGTAATTGACTATATATAGATTCATCCATAGTCATAAAAGCAGTCAGAGAAGATTTCACTAGGCTGTTTGTTTAGAATCTAGATCAGTAGCCCCATTGCTAGTTTGCTCTTCTGGAACTAGCAGTACTTGTGACGCAGAGGAACGAAAAATCATCTGAAATATATCTAGAGATTATGAGAAACTGTTTCTCTTTTGTAGGTTTATGCCACCAGATGATCCATTGGGGCGCCATGGACCAAGCTTGGACAACTTTTTAAGGAAGAAACCCATAGTTCCAGAATATAAGAAACAGCCTTGTCCATATGGTAAATTATATTTCGTTTTATTTAAAGATAATGGATAATTTTATTTTATGTCTTTTGATATTAAACATGTTGTAAATATAATCTGGAATCATACTCCTTTAACCCCTTAAGGACCAAACTTCTGGAATAAAAGGGAATCATGACATGTTACACATGTCATGTGTCCTTAAGGGGTTATTAAAGACACCTTAAAATTTCAAGTTTGCGATAATATTTAAAAATAAGTACTGGATACACTTTTGACATCATAACCCCAATCACAGTTTTGTCGCTATCTGCTTTAGGAAGCATTAGTTTACTAGGGAACATGCTAGATTTTACCTTCAGCCACTGGGTTTAAAGGCACACTATTCTAACCCAGACCACTTCATATCATTGAAGTGGTCTGGGTGCACTGTCCCTATCCCCGATAGTCCTGCAATGTAAAACATTGTAGTTTTAGCCCTTGCAGCTCTAAGACTGCCTCTTGTGACTGTCTATCAGGCAGCCACTAAAGGCACTTCCTGGGGTCTAGCAGACTCTGAGTCCCTTAAACAACGCTGGACATCATCACGCTCTGCATGAGGACATCCAGCATCCCTGAAGTCCCCGTAGGAGAGCATTGAGATAATTATTTTCTATAGGGAGGGCCTAATGTGCTTGCAGCGCATGTGTATTAGGTGCCCCTGTCAGAGGAGGCAAGTGGGGAGGACCAGAGGTCACTATAGTGTTAGGAATTCAGACTTGTATATAATACCTTTAATAGTTGGGCTCTGGGTGAAGCAACAGCTAGTTGTCCTACTGTACATCACTTGTTCAATATATGCATGACCTATTGCCAAGGTAAAAGATAAGATAAAATGAAGCATAAGATATGATGAGCTTTGGCATCACCAACCAATAAGTGCACAACTGGAATTTAAGTAGTAATAGTACCAAGGCAGAAGGTGGGTTTGTCTAGATATTAAGATAGTTGATTCTCCTTACAAAGATAGAATAGAAATCTAGCATGCAGGCAGGAATGTTTTTAAATTTAACTTATTTTTTTTATATTTTCTTACAGGAAAGAAATGCACCTATGGGCACAAGTGCAAATATTATCACCCAGAAAGAGGTAACCAGCCACAGAGGTCTGTAGCTGATGAACTCCGTGCCATGTCTAGAAGCACGATAGCCAAAACTGCAGGCGAAATAGGACTTGTGAAAAGTAACAGTGTTCCTTCAAATACCAAGATTGACAGTAGCTTTGACATGAAGCGTTCAACTCCAAAGAGGCAATCTGATCCAAGTATACGGACTCAAACTTATGAGATAGAGGAAAAGCTTGCAACCAAAAATAAGTTTGAAAGCAGATCTGTGCCATCTTTAGTTAGTATGTCAAATGTGAAACCTCAGAGTATAACCTCTTCAAGCAATGGGCTTCTCTCTGTTGTTCATTTGCCAACACAGGATACAGCACCCCCTGGACTTTACTCTCCAATGCTGATGTCAACAAAGAATCATGGAACCATCCCATGTGACCAATACCCCAAATGTGAGTCTCCTGTCGATGCAGGATACTACTCAATGATGAATGCTTATTCAAACCTCAGTATTGCTGGAACACGAAGTCCAGAAAGGCGTTTCTCTTTGGATACAGATTACAGGATTAGTTCTGTTGCCTCCGACTGCAGCAGCGAGGGCAGTGTGAGCTGCGGAAGCAGTGGCGATTCATATGCAGGTTATAATGATCGTTCCTATGTCAGTTCTCCCGATCCCCAACTAGAGGAAAATGTAAAATGTCAGCACATGCACCAGCACAATCGTTCCTGCTCTCAAGCCTTGTTTCAGGGCTATCATGATTCCTTAACACGGGTTCAAAGCTTTGGGCATGACCAGGAACCAAAGCATCACCACAAACCACACCCTCCATATATGTCAGGGCCTCTTCCTCTTCAACACCACACTGTTGCAGCTCGTTCAAGTTGCCCAAATGAGTATCATATTTCTCCAAATTCCCCTGTTTCCAAAAATGTGATTATGGGCCGTTCTTTAGTGTCCACGAGAATGGAGAGCATTTCTGATTCACGTCTGTATGAATGCCCTCCAATGCGACATCATAAGCTCTACGCTAGCCAGGAAAGCCCTGGAAGCTGGGATAGGCCTAATTACAGTGTTGACCCTTATGGATATCGTCAGACATACCCAGTGCCTGGCACTTCATCACAACCATGCTATGAGCAGTTTGCTTTCCAAAGTCCACCAGAGCATCAAGACCAATCTTGGAGAATACCTTATTGTGGAATCTCACCAGAGCCTCCAAGATATCAGGGCACTAGAGAAAAGGTTTTTATAAATTTATGTAACATCTTCCCTGCCGAACTTGTGCGAATTGTTATGAAAAGAAATCCGCACGTCATAGACGCCCAGCAGCTTGCGGCAGCCATCTTAGTGGAGAAATCCCAGTATGGATATTAAAATAAGATACACCTTTGCGGTGTGATGTACATTTAATTTGTTCAGCTCATGCTGAAGGAGGTTTGCTACAATAGCATTAGTAATCTCCTTCTCAGCAAGGGGGTTCTATAGTAATCCATGTATGTGAAATACTGAGCCATGCATCTTTTATGTGTTACCCCGAAAAATCCAACACCCAACTAGCAATGAAGTGTTAGAGTTCTTACAGAACAAAGGGTGACTGATACAAAAACAAAAGTTTTGTTTTGTTTTGAACTTCTTAGGTAATTGTATACCTGCAGCCATCACAGTTGAAACATGTGGCTGCCGCCAAGTTAATTTAATTTTTTAAACATAGATATTTATATTTTGATATGTATGTTGGTGCATCAGGGGTTGTCAGCGAAGCACTTTTTATTCCTCTGGTTGTTACTTTAAACATGGGGTTAATCTCCCCTTTAAAATACATCAGAATAGAATGGTGTGAATAAATCCAAAATATATCCATCTATGTTGATGAGATATGCACAATTAGACTGTGAAATGCACTGCACTGTGGTCATTAGGAGGGTTCCATTCTACTGGGAAACCTTAAAGCCTCTTTTTGCTTTTTTGTTTTTTGTTGTTGCCGTTTTCTTTTGTTTTGTTTTTACCATGTAGCCTAGTTTACTAATGTGTTCATATTTATTTTTTCAATTCTAGTTCTTACACTGTTGTATTTATAGAAATAGAGGTATTTCAATTCAGTGGAAAGTTGCCTACATATAAAATTGAAAAAGATCTCGTGCTTACCATATCAGGGAAAGCATGCCTATTCATCAAAAGTTAGATTTTTGCAGAAACAAATGTGATTTTATGACAAATCAGTCCATATATGTCGAGTTTTGCCATTTTGTCCCTAATTGAAAAATAAAGCCCCGTACTACAGGGTGTTTCTGAAGTTAATTTTAGTATATAATACAAGTTAAAATGATAAATTCCACACTTTTTAAAGATGTCCCTTTTTGAGGCCAGTTGATTATGAATAACACCAACACTAAAACTATTTGCTATAGGCTATGTAATATAGCAGCTGTTATCATAGACATTAGCTTTATCTAAAGCATTGTGTTTCATAATTTAAAATATTTTACAAAGTACAGTGTAATAATGTAATATACAGTAACCCAATGCTGTACAATGGTGTATTGCAGACAAAATCGTTCTGATTTATGTTTTACATAGATTTATCGGCTCACAAGACATTTGGAACCAACTTGACACAGTGTCTCTCAACTTAAAGTGAAATTGTTTTGCATTTAAAAATGCAAATTTGAACTCTTAAAACATTCCTTGACAAATCTGTATACAGAGTGCATATGCCGTGACGCTAGTGTTTCTTAAATTTTCTGTAAATCCTGCCTTGGTGTATTTGCAAGCAACAAATTTCAGGCAGTTATAGCAATGCACTCACAGGTGGTAGAAAAATGGCCAACTTTTATTTTACATAATAGCGTCCAGGACACCTCGCGGAATCATCTTAGATCGAGTGAGAAATAAAATGTTGTTTGCGTGTGTTATCTAAAATAAAAGCATGTCATTTTTGTACCATTGTGAGTTGCACATGCACACCTATTAATTTGTGATTATAGACAAAGGGGACTTATGGCACTGTTGTAGTTAATTTATATTTACGATTTCGTTTTTAATGTTACCCAGAAAACAGGCAACAATATACTGATGAGTTACAGTACTGCACTTTTTGTATTTTGTATTTTTTTTTTCATTTTTAATTATGTATCGTAGTATGGTATTTCTGTAACTCACCACATTGGTTTTGATAGGTTTATAAACTCATCAAACCATGTTTTAATGTTTTCAGAGCACCAGAAGCATCATAAATATGCATTCCAAACATCAGAGTTATCTGTTATCTTTCTGTGCTTGTTTATAATTTTCCCACGAGATGATTTCCTAATTATAAACTTTGATATTATTTTCTCTACCCAGTTCTTGTTCTCACAAGGGTTCCTTGAACATCAAAATTGCAAAAATGATGCTAAAATAGCCAAACTATGACCATAGCTGAGTTTGAGCGTTTTTCCAAATCTGCTATTTTTTGCATAATTTTTGAAATTCATAGTGCTATTCACCAAAGTGAGCATTGTTGTGAATTCAATTTGAATTTAAAATTTAAGACCAAAATAGCTCTCTTTCAATTGTCAACAATTCCCACTTTAGTTTATAACCCAGTTTATCGCAATTCAGACTTGTTGCTTTTCTTACACATGAATTGTGGCACCTGTGGTTTAACCCCACGTCATCGCAAGACACTGCGGATGGTAGACAAGTGAAATCATTTCCCCCTCTAAACATTAAATTGATTTCTGTCTCTGCACTCGCTGGGTAAGAAAGACAAAATCTTGATTAATAATTGAAATATTCAAAAAAAACTTACTACTTTATTTAAATCATGACCTCAAAAGCCCATCTCTAGGGTGTACTCTAGAACTAGGGAATCCTCATCATATTTTGTCTTTCTCTATATTTCCCCTTATGTAGATCTGCATTTTGAGAGTTTTTTACCTAATTCTTGGAGATTCTACTTAAATTTATATTTTTAAAAAAGCAAATCATGATTTTCAGTTTATTTACAAAGCAGATTTAATGATTCATTAACCGTAACATATATCGCTATCTCTACATAACACATATATTAACGGTGTGGGATTATAGGCGTACCTACCTAAAAATACCTTACAGTCCCTTCCCCCTAATATGACAATTAATGCCATCCTGTGATATGTTTTATCAGAAAAATTATCAAGGTTACAGTTTATAGAGGCATTACTATTGTATGCTGAGTGCCGCATTCACAACCAGAATGTATATATTTTTTCATGCAATAAACTATTTAATATTTCATATGAAAATTTAGAAAGTATTATCCTGAAAACCCACTCTTTACTGCCTAATGTTTTAGATTTTGATATCATAGATTTAAATATTTTTATACACGGGTTGAGCAGAAAGTTGGCATTTCATATGTAGTATCCACCACAAATTTAAATGGGGGTCTGTGTACATGTAATATGTTGGACAATGGGTTACCTAGAATTCTTAATTTTGTTTTACTATTACAGGTAAATTTAGAGACCAAACAAGTTAGCTGATAACTTATAGCCACTAGTAATTTAAAAAAAAAAAAAAGTATAAAAAAATGAGAAGATATCACTGTACACTGTGACTGTTTAATTTAGGCGTTTTGAAGATGATAAATTCTTTTTTAAAAATTCTATAAATGGGAGGTGCTGAAGAATAATGTATTTCTATTTTTTTTCTTTTTTTTTTACCTTTTAAAAAATTAAGATTAAGTATTTGGAATGATATGATTTTAGGAGTTTTGCCTCACATTGCACAGTGACAGTTAGCTGTAATACTCAGTCGAGTAGTACCTCTCCAGACCCTCTCAACAACTTAACTCTTAATACTTACAATCCCAATTTTAATAAACTCCCACCATTGTGTTATGCTCTTTCCTGAATACAGTAGTGATGGTAAGGAGATGTTGATGTCTATCTAATGGAGGTTTATTAGACGAGTACCATGAGTTTATTTTTTACTTTTTTTTTTATTGTTTAGCCCTAAGTATTATCCTATTTTTATTCTGAAACCTATATTATAGATCAGGAGTCAGGTTTGACTTTAATTTTGCTAGACATTTTTGTACAAAATGGTTTAGAATTGCTAAACAAAGCAATTCCCCAAATCACGCTATTCCAGGGTAATAATCAACTCAATATAAAGTAATCTGAAATATTGCAATTCTCTATTATTTTCCATTTGAGCTTCTGGAACAAAGTTTAATTGTGTTTTTTAAGCAATTTGTTTTTCTTCTGCTCTGGGCTTGTTTAGAGGTTGTATTGAGACGCAAATTTTTACAGGGTTGACATCTTTACAGAATACAGAGACCCAAAAATTCTTACCTGTTTTGGTTAGTTGTATTCTGAAAAAGAGGATTTATTTTTGATAAAGAGTGTTATAGAGCAGATTTTTTTGTGATTAATTTGTATCAAACATTGGACTCCGACAACAGCAAGAAACTATTTTATGTAAATATCTTGCTTTGTTTCTAGATTACATTTGTAATAAAAATGCAATTATTTTTACTTGCTAAACTAACTAAATGATCTCCGATAGGAAGTGGATTTTGTTTTTCTGGGGTTTTTGTGGTTTTTATTTTTGTATGTAGTATGCCTTTAAACATTGCTTTTAGATTTGTTTTCTCTTAACTGCATTTTGTCAAGCAACTATGCACAAAGTGATTTCAAACCTATATTAAGAGTGAATTCTTTCCAATACCTGAAGTTAGGGTTTAAAAAAAAAAAAAAAAAAGTGAGGTCTGCTGGGTGCTACTTATGCACTCACATGTTGCAGAGCTGAAAGTCATCGGCATATCCTCATTTCCACTAACAGCTATTAATCAGAACTAAATGACTTTCATTTGAGCAACTCAACCTGCATTCGATTTGGCTGTTTTAAAGCTTTCTCACGGCATGTGTAGGTTTGACAACCAGGTAACTCAGAGCTGTGTTCGGTGTGATTTTTCTAATTTGGAAACCCATCTGTTACCACTTTGGGTATTAACAAAACAATATGAGAATTAGCGCCACTTTAGGCATTCTCAGCCCATCTTTGAGAAAAGCATCTTAACCCCAAATTTTAATTTGAATTCTAAAACATTTTTTCTTTAAAATCATTCTAGAGAACGCTCCAAGCACTGTAGTGGTTATGGTGCCATAAGGGCCCTAGCAACCTCTATTGTAATAAGTAAAACCAATTTAGAATAATTTGACTTCTTGCCTTGGGTCTGCAAAGCACCACTCCTTGACTCCATTGATTCTAGCCAGGAGCCAGATGTTCCTAAGCTGGGGTAGCCCATTGATTGAGAGCGTTAGCTGATCAAACTCGGCCAATAAGCTGAGCCCTGTACCATTGGACGTAGCATATATAGAGAGCTTTTGGCCCTCTGTCCAATGTAGTGAAGGTCGGGAGTGGTGGGTTGCAAGGGCACTTACATTCAGCAGGGTGCCGGGGCACTTCTGGAACCATAACCACTACAGCACTTATAGTGGCCTAATAGGTTTTGTTCTGTGACTGTGTTAGTATATGAATCTTGAGTGCAAGAGGCATTGTTAGTTAAAGACTAAATGGTTTTGACAAATTTTGCCTGTAACGTTCGATCACAGGTGACTACAACATATGTTGCTTAATGTATATTTGAATAGAAATAAGTTTTGTTTCTATTGAGTAACAGGAATGCTACTGATTTATTTATTATATTTTATACAGAGAATTTATTAATCGAAAATACCTGCTGATACAAATTGTATCATTTTAGGTGTAATATCTTTCCTTTCCTTTTTTTCTGCGGGTTATTTTCTATTGTATATCTTTTTTTAAAGGAAATTATCAATTTTGGGCTACATTTTCCCATTATTAAAACTGAAAATAAAAAATCCCTGTTGTTGTACACTATAGATTGACTTGCATTCATTAGGTATGTTGATTGTAGTGACTTCAAATATGTCTTAAAACAGTGCTTCTTATTCCATTGTTCTGGATCCAAATTTGGGTCTTTACACAACTTACTTGGTTGAAACACACATAATATTCAATATCCACCTAGCAAATGCCCACAATCATTTGTCGGCTCTAGTGGCATTGCAGTCCCCAGTTAACTGGCGACTCCATGGACCATAGGAATTAAGTGGAAGAATTACTAATTGAAAATTACACGCAAAAATAAAACCTTACAAATAATCTATTGATTTATCAATTTATTAGCCTATTTAATTTGATACATCATTTTCTACATCAGTACTGCCCGAGTACCCGACAAACAGAGAGGACAAATTGAAACACTGTTTAATTTCTTCTCTGTATGCTTTATCTATACCAGGCATAGGTAACTTTCAGCACTCCAGATGTTTTGGACTACACCTCCCATGATGCACTGCCAGCATTGTGGGTGTAAGAGCATTATGGGGGATGTAGAATACATCATCTGGAGTGCCGAACGTTGCCTATCCCTGGTCTATACTGACTTCTTGGTGGAAAGGACAGAGCTTCTAAAAATGATTGACAGGGAGCCAAGATGGAGGTGCAAAGTTGCTTGATATAGGTGTGGATTTTAAAATTTTAAGTTTTTTTTCTCATCAAAATACATATTTGTTAAATATAGGAGAAGAGTAAACATGGTATTAAAAAATCATGGGCTCTTACAGTTCCACTTTAAGTTGTTTAGAAACATAATTGTTACTACATTAACACTATGAGTTACATTGGATATTACCCTAAAGAAGGTGTTTCCAAGCTAATGTAAAGTACATAATGTGTCGGTAGTAAAAAAAAAATAAAAAAAAATTAGCACTACAAAAAAAGCATGTCATATAAATGTTAGACTAAGATCACCTCCTCCTATTCTTTCTGAATAGAATTAATGATGGGAAAATGCTGCCTGAGAATGGATATCCAAAATTGCTTTGATTTTGATAGCATTTAAACTATTTGTGAAACACTGTGTGTGGATGCAAATAGAGGGTGTTCATGTCATAAAAAAACTTGTGAATGACACTGCATTTATATACAAAGATTAGTAATCTGAACTATGTTCAGCAAACCCTCCTTCAGGATTTTGTTGTATCTTATTAACTATGGGGAATTATTATTCAAAATTCTGCATTTTTTTTATTATTACTAAATGGACTATGACTTTGTCTCCTAAAATCAGCATTTCCAACGATAAAAGAAAAAGAAAGAAAATAACTATTTTTGGAGTTAATTCGATATTCATGGAATTGTAGCTATTTGAATGCAAACCTTCAAATTTCAGGCTAAAAGAGCGTAACAGTATTATAATGGAGTTCAAAATTTGTACATACGCACCACTTTTTGCCTACATCTAGTAATTCAATTTTCAATACACTATATATAATTCCATTATTATTGAATTTATTTTCATGATGCTTGGTAGATTTCAATAATATGTATCCTTTTACAAACCTGGGACTCTTTATGCTATTGTGCTTAGCATACTGTCCATCCTATAATATTTACCAATACCAGAATGCATCGGACCTTGTTCTTTGCTGATTGGATATCGAGGGTGCATTGGGGAAGGCAGAGGGGCTTATTTTATCATCTGTGCTATCTATACTATTGTGAGCTCCAAAGAAGCTGTATTAATTTTTTTTACTAAAATATATATATATATATTTTTTGTGGAAAACTGTTGATTCACTTGAACAGTGTATAAAAAACTACTGTGATTACAGTAAGATCGTAAATTGGGGCAACTGATGTATATTAATGCAATATGATAAAAACACATCAGTATTTTTCTTTACCCTCATTTACAAGCATGTTCCTCCTAGTACATAGGAATATCGTTTTGTTCTTTATTTCAGATTGTTAATGCCAATAGTAACTGGGATATTACAACTTTATAAATTTACACGGTGTTCTTAATGTTATGTGTTCTCGGGACAGCATTGTGTCTCTTCTAAACCTTTTTGTACTCTTACCCTGTATATGTCTCTGCCACCTAGCCTTGTCTTTCTGGAGAAAAAAATTTACCACTTGTCCTAGTTGCCCTCTTCCTACAGAAAACCTAAACTTTAATATACTTCTAAATTAGATGTTATATTTTTGTGATTTAACATTTTCTGTCATGTCCACATTCTTTGCTCCAAGCAATGCATATATTTAAAACTTTTAGACTCTCTTTATACATAGGGGGATATTTATCAAAGAGTTCTGAAAAGTGGAGAGTATATTCCCTCTTTATTTTGACTGTGATTATTAAAGAAATCGAAAACGTTTTGGTTATCTTCATTGTAAATTACAATGTTTTTTCAGGGAAATTTCAACTTCAGAAGACTGCCAAAATATAGTGGCAGAAAAATTCTGCCACTCTTCTGTTGAAATAATGATAAATCCGTTAAAAAAAAATGTGCATTAAAAAAATGAGTTGGTGTACAAAAAAAGCACCGATTGGAAAATAAGCAAATGTGTCCAATTTGTGAAAAACCTTGCCCGAAATTAGGCACACTTTGATAAATCTCCCCCACAGTGTTGTGGAGAACTTTGAACATTCTAGGAATCTGTCTCCAGTTTGTTTTTATTAGACAATAAAGTCTCAACACAGTCAGGATTATTCACGAAAGGGAGAGCTGCTGGGTAACTGAAATCAGAACGGACTTACAGAATTCTGCTGACTTCAGGCCAAAATTTTGAAATTCACTTTGTTTTCTTTCAAGTTGTACAGGGGTTCTGTTGTAGCAAAATGTGTGTGATTGTGATTTTATTCTTCTTTCTTATTGTATGAAACCAATCTGGCTTGGCTGTTAGATTCCTATGAGTCAAGTCTAATATATATATATTTTTTTTACTATTTTCTATCCAACTCTTTGAAGCGTAATTAAGTAACATGCACTCCTATCTTTTCTAAAACACCAAGTAATTTTTTCTGAACCACAAACTGTGTCAAGCATAGCTGCATCCTTAAACCCCTACGCATTTAACAATTCTTGTTTTACCAATGAGGGGTAACTTTGGCATTTGAGTATTTTTTTTATTTTTCATAGTATACATGCAATAAGAGCTAAAGGTGTCTGTTTTATATAATAATCTGAAATCCATTTCAAGTTCAGGTAATTTTTTTGTAACCGTAATTTCAATTTAGGTTTATTTGTAACTGAATATCTATGTAAAAAGACTGCATTTCGAAATAAAAGGGGTACAATGTGTTGCCTTTTAAAGAGGAATGTTTATTAATGTGCTGAAAAAGCACCATTAAAAATTGAATGTTTAGTTTTTTTTAACATTAGAATCCACTACCTGAAACTGTGTAATTTTTTTGGTTTTATTCTGCTTAGTACTGCCTGTTTACACATTCTAGTATTGAGTGATTTTGTTTTGAGGTTTTTTTTAACATTTTTTTTTAAGAGGGGGTGGGGGTCGGGTTTGTTTATTCCAGAATCAATATTTATTACACCCATCCCAACTATTCTGTATTTTGGGACGGAATCCTTTATGCTGTAGCCTGAGTTTTGCTTGGACGTTAAATGGCAATTACGCCTGAGATCCATGGCGAAAAAGCATAGGCGCCGTGTAGGAAAACAGGTTGTTTTTTTTTTCTTGGTGATCAAGAGATTCATTTTTGTACATGTTAAATTAAGAATAAACCGTAAGCGTGCAGCATATGCCAGGCATGTATTTCTATCATGTTATCTTGTGACCAGTGGCATTGCTAATTAACTTTTTATTTATTTATTTTTTATTTATTTGTATTTTTAACCTAGTCCCAGCTAAATTTCTGTAACTGAGGTTGTATAACTGTAAGGTTTTGTTGAAATGTTTTTTAGTAGCATACACTGTAATATTACTGTTATTTAGTTATTTATTTAATATTATTACTATAATACGTGTAGACGTAAAGAAAAAAAACAGACAAGCAACATTTGACTGTCTGTTATGTAGGTACTCAAAGTTGCAGAAACATAAGGTTTCATTTATTGTGACTTGTGTTATTGTATCTTCTTAGTTTCTAATGTTACATTAATCACTGTGTTTTTATTGCAAATGTTTTTGTGTCACTAGTAATCGCACCTGCGTGCATCTAGAAACCTCTGCTTTCTGTGATTTTCTCCCAAGGCAACAATTAAACTTATTTTTTTGGTAATTTGTCTCTAAAATTTTGTTTGCGGATAAACTTGTTAGGGAAGGAAAACAGCATACGTCATCATCACGGACAATGTGTCAGTAAGTGCATCTCACTCAGACTACTAATCTACAAACACAGGTGATAATAACCAGAATGGAAATTGTGGTTTGTACATTGTTCAGTTTATATAGATCTTGAACTGGCTTCCCAGCCTATAAAGACATTGGAGAAGATAAAATGCATTTGGAGGATTTCTCAGTAGGGCATAGTCACTAAACAATGAATTGTAGTGAATTGAAAACCAAATTGCAAAAATAGCCAAACTTTGACTACTCTGAATTAGAAAATAGTTTTTTTCTCCAATTGAAATCTTTTAACCTAAAGTTTGTTGTTCAGATTTTAACTCAGAACATTTCATTGTTTTTAGTGAATAAACCCATTAACATTTCAGAAAGTAAATTCTACGTTTGCAGCTTTCCAGGGTGTCTGAATAAGATGGAAAGGCACAGCAAATTCGAGCGTTTATTATAAAATTAAAAACAGAGTAAATGGTGCATTGTCCCTGTATGAGCAAAGTTTGCCCCCTGCAAACCCTGAGAATGACATCCACCCTCTCAATCTCATATCCCATTGTATCTATTGCTATGATAATGTAATGCTAAAAGAAGGTCAGTGTTTAAATATTCATGTATCTGTACATAAGAAAATACACTTTATCCAAAGCCATCATCTTACCATAGAGAAAACACCACTCAAAGAATAATCAAAGCCTGAAAGATATGCATCCTCACAGACAGAATTGATGTTGCAAATTAGAAATATGGGTGAAGATGAGATAGTCACCAAAGTATTTATTATGCAATGTAGGGTATAGGGATGTCCATGTTCAGCATGCCCCTGGATACAAATAGGTACTGATATTTTGTGCCTTTAGAAATTTCATTCCGTGTCCACCACTTTTTGTATACCTGCACATTTGCAGTTTGAGCTACATGTCTGCTCTATGCATCATTGAGGATCTACTGGCAATGACCACATTTTAGCTATGGGTAGACATTTTGTATTCATATTTTATTACTGTTATGTTTTGTTGAGTAGCCCAGATGGTATTCTCCTTATGATCCCACACGTCTCATTCAGCTTCTATGTGAGTACCTATATCTATGAGTGACTACTAAATGTGCATTATGCCAGAGCTTGACAAATTTGCTTGGAATCTAGAAGCCAGCTAGAAAAGTTAGGAGCCAGAGAAATCAATGCCAAAAATACAATTCTTAAAGGGACACTATAGTCACCAGAACCACTAGAGCTTAATGTAGTTGTTCTGAAGTCTATATCCTGTCCCTAAATGCTTTTCAATGTAAACAATGACTTTTTAGACAAAAGGCAGTGTTTACATTGATGCCTGGGGACACCTCTTGCAACAGTCACTCAGACGGCCTCTAGAGGCAGGGCCGCCATCAGGGGATGACAACCATAATGGTTGTCATGGGCCCGGCGGTCCTGGGGGGCCGCTATATATATGTGCAGTGCAGGTGCAGCCATGGGCCCCCGGCTCCCTATACTTGCAGAGGGGGCCCAGCGGACTGCAAGTGTACTTACAAGCTCTTCCCTCTCTGTAACTCCCGCGAGACCCGCGGCCGCTAGAGCGTTGCCATGGGTTACCATGGCAACGCTCCGCTCCGCGCGGCACGCACGCCATGCTCGCGGGAGTTACAGAGAGGGAAGAGCTTGTAAGTACATTTGCAGTCCACTGGGCCCCCTCTCGCAAGTCTAGGGAGCCGGGGGGGCCCCACAATGCCACTGGACCACCAGGGATCATGGAATCTCCCCCCTCCCTGAACCAGGTAAGAACCAGGGAGGGGGGAATAACCTTTTTGGAATGCTCCATTTACACTGCATGCATACACTACACTAACACACACACTGCATTCACTACACTAACACACACTCTGCATTCACTACACTGACACACACTGTGCATTCACTACACTAACACACTCTGCATTCATTACACTAACACACTGCATCCACTACACGGACACAAACTCTGCATTCACTACACTAACACACACTCTGCATTGATTATCTTAACCATGGTGGTGGGGCCAGCACAGCATGGGGAAAAAAGGTGAGTCACACCTTTCCCATGTGATTGGAGGGAACACACACACACTCACAGACATACACACACAGACAGACAGACACCCGCCATACACACACTCAGACACACACTCACAGACATACAGACACACTCTCACACACACACACTCACAAGTAATTGATTTATTTTTTAAATTTAAATCCACCCAGTCTCCCTACCTTTGGAGAGCTGGAGTGGATAGGCATTCCCTGGGGTCCAATGGGGCTGCTGCAACCTCCCTATTCAGATCCATCTTGAGCACTGTTTAGTGAGCCGGAGACCAGAGTGATATCATCACCCAGCTCCTGGCATCACTTCAAGGCACACGAGGGAACAGAGCAGGGAGATTACATGTCCCTCGCCGCGAAACTAAGTCAGCCACCCGCCCGCCTCCCTCAGCAATACATGAGCAGGCCTCCCCGGTCAGCCGCCTGCCTGCCTCAGCCCTCCGTGATCAATCTGGTCAATGGTACACATCCTTTCTACACCCCTCACAAAATACAGGCTTTGCAGCACATTTGTAGACTGTTTAAACACCTGCCAGTTGGATTCTCATTCTTTACTAGTTACTGTCCTATTATTATTATTATTGCCATTTATATAGCGCCAACAGATTCCATAGCGCTTTACAATATTATGAGAGGGGGGATTTAACTGTAAATAGGACAATTACAAATAAACTTACAGGAACAATAGGTTGAAGAGGACCCTGCTCAATCGAGCTTACAGTCTATAGGAGGTGGGGTGTAAAACACATTAGGACAGGAATTTGCAATCAAATAAGGTGGGCTGCACTTTAGGAGAGGGCAAGAGACAGGTATGTGAGGTAGAGGTTACTCTGGGAGGCCATAAGCTTTCCTAAAGAGATGGGTTTTAAGGCACTTCTTAAAAGATGCAAGACTAGGGGAGAGTCTGATGGCGGTAGACAGGCTATTCCATAGGAAGGGAGCCGCCCGCTAGAAGTCCTGCAAGCGTGAGTTGGCCGTACGGGTGCGGACAACGGACAGGAGGTGGTCACGGGCAGAGCGGAGAGACCGAGAAGGGACATACCTATGGATCTGTGAAGAGATATAAGAGGGGCTAGAGTTGTTCAGTGCTTTATATGTGTGAGCTAGTGCCTTGAATTGACTCCTATAGCACACAGGAAGCCAATGTAAGGACTGGCAGAGGGGTGAGGTGTGAGAGAACCGACTAGAGAGGAAAATCAGTCTAGCAGCAGCATTCATTACAGACTGTAGGGGTGCAGTACGGCTTTTGGGAAGACCAAGCAGGAGAGGGTTACAATAATCCATGCGTGAAATTATTAGAGCATGGACAAGCTCCTTGGTAGTATCTGGTGCAAGAAAGGGGCGGATGCGGGCTATGTTTTTAAGATGGAATCTACAGGATTTGGCAACATGCTGGATGTGAGGCTCAAAGGTGAGACCAGAGTCAAGTATGACGCCAAGACAGCGCGCTTGCAAGGATGGGCTGATGTTGGTACCACAAACTTGAAGGGAGAGCGAAAGAGGAGGATCAGTATTAGGAGGAGGAAAGACAAGGAGCTCAGTTTTTGAGAGATTGAGTTTCAGAAAGCGGGAGGACATCCAGTCAGAGATGGAAGAAAGGCAAGCAGTGACACGTTGCAGGACAGCAGGTCTGGGGAGGAGAGATATAGCTGGGTGTCATCAGCGTACAGGTGGTAGTGGAATCCAAATGAGGTAATAAGTTTGCCAAGAGAGGCAGTATAAAGAGAAAATAGAAGGGGACCAAGGACGGAGCATTGGGGGACTCCAACCGAGACAGGGCGAGGGGAGGAGGTATCATTAGAAAAAGAGACACTGAATGAGCGTTGGGAGAGATAAGAGGAAAACCATGAGAGGACAGAGTCACAGAGACCAAGCGATTGCAGAGTTTGAAGAAGGAGAGCATGATCAACGGTGTCAAAGGCCGCTGAGAGGTCAAGAAGAATTAGTATGGAGTAGTGGCCTTTGGATTTAGCTGCGATTAGGTCGTTAGTAACTTTGATAAGGGCAGTCTCTGTAGAGTGGAGAGGGCGGAAGCCAGATTGAAGGGGGTCAAGGAGAGAGTTGGAATTGAGGAAATGAGACACACGGGTAAAGACAAGTCTTTCCACAAGCTTTGAGGAAAAAGGGAGCAGGGATATGGGACGGTAGTTAGAGGGGGTGGACGGGTCGAGGGATGGTTTTTTTAGTACAGGTACTACAGTGGCATGTTTAAGGTCAGCAGGAACGATGCCAGAAGAGAGCGAGCAGTTGAAGATGTGTGTTAGAGAAGGCACGAGACAAGTGGAGAGAGATCTGATAAGGTGAGATGGGACAGGATCGAGCGGGCAAGTGGTGGGGCGAGAGGAGCAAAGAAGAGCAGCCACCTCTTGGTCAGTGGCTGGGGAGAATGTCTGAAGGGTAGGAAAGGCATTATCTATGTGTGATTGAGAATTCTTCAGTCGGGTTTGGACAACGGTTTCAATGTAAGCTCCTTAAAAGACCAGCTTTGACTGGTATCCAATCTCTGCAGCCTTTAACCAATGGAACATTCCACAATTCTTAATTGAGCTAACCCAGATCACAAATACTGTTTATTAGGCTCGATCTTTGAGGTTGCAAATACATTTATTATTGTATACTAATTTTTTTTTAAAAACAGCACTGCTTAACATTTCCTCTACATTGTATTGGGGTAGTAGAAGAGATTTAAATAGGTGCTATTGTGTCTTTTTATTCATTTCCCTTCTATTAAACTTGGATTTTCAAGATTGAAATATGCACAGATAAGAGAGGATTGGGTTGATTTATTTTTCTACTACAAGCTCCTGTCTGCATAGCATGGAAAATCTCTAAGAAAATTAAATACGTGGCTAGGGAATTAAAAGGTCGGATAGCTGTACTGTTGTATCATTCCTCTTCACAATAAAAAAATAAAAAATTAAATAAAAACATTATATTGTAGGGCTGGAAAAAAAGGCTATCTCTGTTATTGCTTCAGTGTTCAATAAACATCTACAGATCTCTCTCTCTCGTTCTTTCATATAGAGGATTCGATCTACGAATTGCTGTACAAAAACATGGATTCATCCCTTGGGAATGTGATCCCTCTATTTGAAGCTATTTGTTTGGTCATCGTACACAAGAGATACTATACCTGAATAGGTAACTTAATGGCAGCTCTCCTATTGAAGCCTATGGGAAAATTATATCTAATAACCATCTAGCCCATGGTGTATATTGGTACCCTGCACAGCATTTGTTTGTTTGCTTTTGTATCTCTTAATTAAATTGTATGCTTGACAGTGAGTTCTGCTCCCCACCTTTTTTTGCCATTTTATGACTTGTAAATGAATTGAAATTGAAGGAGGCAAACTACCCATCTCATAACTTCATTCACACGTTTACTATAATGTTTTAAATGGCATGTTTGAACATGGAAGGAACATATGACTAGAGTTGACCGGACACCTGGATGTTCGGGTCCGGTGGGTTCGGCCGAACTTTGAAAAAAAGTCTGGGTTCGGGCTCGAACTTGACTCCGAATTTGACCCCGAACCCCATTGAAGTCAATGGGGACCTGAACTTTTGGCCACAAAAATGGCTCTAAAAAACTCCTGGAAAGGGCTAGAGGGCTGCAAAAGAAAGTAAAATGGGGGTAAGAGTAGGACAAGTGCCCTGCAAACAAATGTGGATAGGGAAATCACTTAAAAATAACAAAAAATAAGCAGCCGCTTAGTAGATAACTCCCTAATTCACACGGTATTAGGGAGCTATCTACCAAAAGGCTGAAAGACCTAAATTGGTCACCTAAATTGGTCTTTCAGCCACATTTACTAATACTAAGTAAAGATTACTTAGTATTAGAAAATTCAGCCCCTACTCGCTATCCTGCGAGTAGGGGCGTGTCTAGTAAACAGTGAGCAGCCAGTGGCTGCTCACTGTAAAAAATAAAAATTAAAAAAACCTATTGCCCCCACCCCTGCGCGGTGGATGGGGGCCATAAATAAAAAATGGAGGGGGCCTACTGTCCTCCCCCCCGCCCCCACCCCTGAGCGGTGGGTAGGGGCCATAAATAAAAATTGGGGGGGACCTAATGTCCTCCGCCCCAGCCCCCACCCCTGCACGGCGGGTGGGGGCCCTTAATAACAATAAGGGAGGGGGAATTACTGTCCTCCCGCCCACCCCCGTCCCTGAGCGGTGGGTGGGGGCCATAAATAAAAAATGGGGGGGACCTAATGTCCTCCCCCCACCCCTGAACGGTGGGTGGGGGCCATAAATAAAAATTGGGGGGGACCTAATGTCCTCCCTCCACCCCCACCCCTGCGTGGCGGGTGGGGGCCCTAAATAATAATAAGGGAGGGGGAACCTAATGTCCTCACCCCTGAGCGGTGGGTGGGGGCCATAAATAAAAATCCCCCCCAGGTGACTAGGGGTCCCCAAACCCCTAGTCACCCCCCTCCCCCAAACAAATTACCCCTACCTACTCCCCTCATCCTAAAAATAATGAGGGGGACCCTTGTCTAAATACCTGTAAAAAAAAATTTCACTTACCATTTGATGTCTTCTTTCTTCTAAAATCTTATTTTTTCAGCCTCGAAAAAGGCCAAATCAAAATCCAGAATAACCGACGCACTTTTTAAAAAAAAGGTACAGGTATTTAGACAAGGGTCCCTCCTAATTATTTTTAGGATGAGGGGGGTAGGAAGGGGTAATTTTTTTGGGGGGAGGGGAGTGACTAGGTCACCTGGGGGGGGAATTTTTATTTGTGGCCCCCACCCACCACTCAGGGGTGGGGGCGTAGGGGGAGGACATTAGGTCCCCCCCTTGTTGTTATTCAGGGCCCCCACCCGCCCCGCAAGGGTGAGTGCTGTGGGGAGGACCTAAGGTCCCCCCCTTATTGTTATTTAGGGCCCCCAACCGCCGCGCAGGGGTGGGAGCCAGGGGGGAGGACCTTAGGTCCCCCCCTTATTGTTATTTAGGGTCCCCACCCACTGCACAGGGGTGGGGGCTGGGGGGAGGACATTAGGTCCTCCACCATTTTTATTTAGGGCCCCTACCCACCTCTCAGGGGTGGGGTCGGGGGGAGGACAATAGGTTCCCTCCCCTTATTGGTATTTAGGGCCCCCACCCGCTGCTCAGGGGTAGGGGCCGGGGGGGGGGGCAATAGGCCCCCGTTTAGTTTAAAAGTCCCCACTCATGCATCATGGGTGGAGGCTCAGGAGGGGGGAATGTTTTTTGTTTTTTTTTAACAGACACGTTAAATAGACACGCCCCTACACTCGGTATAGCGAGTAGGGGCATAATTTACTAATACTAAGTGACCAGCTTCTATAGAGGCTGGGTCACTTGCTGCACTGGCCAATCACAGCCATGCCATTAGTAGGCATGGCTGTGATGGCTTCTAAGGGCACATGAGTCAAACACTTGTTGATTGGCTGCCCTGCGGCCTTTCAAAACGCGTCATTAAATCGGCGAACTCCGAACTCCAACCCGAACATACAGTGATATGTCCGTGTTTGGGTCTGGGGTCCAAAAAACCTAATGTTGGTTCGCTCAACTCTACATATGACCAATATCTTTTTAGTCTTTTTTTTTACACCTGTATCAGAGAAAATTGACAGA